TTATTTGATTCGAATAATGGAGATTCTACTGTATAAATATTGGCAGCTTCTTTTTTTTCTATACAACTTAGAATGGCAAACAAGCTGAAGGCCCACCTGATGGAAAGTGGTAACCGTCGCCTATAAACATGAGCAGTACCATGGACATAACAGAGTATACTGTTTCGCCCATGATACCCCCCATGCGTTGCCATTCCTGAGGATTCAGGTGTTATTCCACAAATTCAGTAAATTCACGCTATATCCCACCCTTCAAACCGAAACACAGCCATGCAAACACAACTGCTTCACGCTTGAAACACGAATGGGACAGAGGTACCCAAGCAATCAACTTTTGTACAAAGTCTCCCTCTAGTAAAAGATTCTTTTTTCAATACGTGACAATGGAATGGTGACCCCACCTGCGCTGTCGGTATACTCTGGTGGGGCACCAGTGAGTGATGATAGGTGAAGATGAAAACACGTCAGTCAATTCCACAAGAGCTAACCACGATAATTTCCAAGGGGGAAATCGAACTGTTAGGGTATAATACAACCATGCCGCGGCTGGTCGGAAGGCCGACCATAACGTAGGTGGCACCTCCAAGTGCAGCCTTTTACACTGCTGGGTGTCTCTCGGCTCTGAGGTGGATCTCCGGGCGGCGGAAGGCGGGACTCTTCCAAAGCCCAACTAGAGGTGGAGATCCGGGAGTCGGCGCACTGCGTATTCCCGGCGCTCCACTCGGAGTGGCCCTGTCATGGGGTGGCGCCGCCGGTGATTAGGACAACTGGAAATCGCGAGCCCCAGTCATCGGCACACGGCGCTGAGAGGAATACCGGGGTGGTTTTTAGTGGGTAAAAATCCCACAGTACCCACCGTCACCCCGCTGGCGGTGGGTCTCTTTCTGAAGATTTTCCCCTCGATAAAATAAAAGGGGTAAAATACAACCCTAAATGCAATAAACCTGCAGTTGTGAAAACATATTATTTTTTTCACAACTGCAGGTGTTTGGTTTTACTTTGAAGAGCAAAATGTATTTGCAATTAACGATTCTAAATTTAAACGCTTTCGAAGATAAAGTAAAAATTAATTTTTTTTTTATAAAACCTGTACTGTATTGAAATTTTATAAAATTAAAACAGGGAAATGTTTACATACTACGTACTTTCAATTGTTATTCCAAGTTGTTTTGGAATGAAAATTGCGTATTGTGGGACGTCATTAATGTAGACCAGAGCCGTCCAAACCATGGCCCGCGGGCCACATGCAGCCCGCGGCTTGAATTGATGCGGCCCACCAAATTTTTTCTGGCTACTACAAATATTGATGTTGATATTAACAGAATTGTAAAAGATAAATTAATGAAAAAGTAATACAATAATAAAATATTGATATTATAGCTGCGTTTTATTTTTACAAATAATTTACGGCCTTCAATGAATTTAGATAGATAGATACTCTTTATTGTTTCCTCCAAAAGATTACAATAATAAACTTACTATAAATATAAACAGTTACAAGATTTAATTTACTCATTTTTATTGGCCCTAGTACCTATTTAATTTGGACAGCCCTGATGTAGACAATTAAAAAAGTCGCGACTTACAAGCTCAAGTACGTGTATAGAAAAGGTGCTTACGTCATACATACGTACACAGTGTCCTATGTAACCGTAGAGAACACCAGTATAGGTAGGCACTGTTCATCACGTATGTACGTGACGTAGTATATATCTGTTTTCCTGTACTTGGCATAAGTAAACACTTTACTCTCGTCAAAATAACAATGCATTAAAAAAACATAATAAACAAGTTCAAATTTTTTAACAGTGAAATGTTTTTTTAATGGATGATAATGGAATAGTAACCACACCTGCGTTAATAGTATACGCTGGCAGGGCTAGTGAGAGATGATAGGTGAGAATGAAAAGGTAGGTCAGTTAGCCCATTGTGAAGAATTTAAAGATAAATTAGTCACGATCGTTTCCAGAGGGAATCGCGTGGAGGTCGACCTGATAGGGCATATTGATAGCAATAGGGACTAACTTCTCTTTTATTAACAATCCCTTCCCTCCCCCCTGATAGGTTTTTTTTTGATGGGTGAAAATGTACGGTAACCCCGCCTGCGCTAACGAGATACGCTGGCGGAGCACCAGTGAAGGGTGATAGATGAGAATGGAAACAGGCCAGTTAGCCCATCATGATGAATTCATCAGGAATTAACCATGATAGTTTCCAGGGGGAACCGCCAGGAGGCTGACCTGGTTGGGTATATTGCTAGCAATAGGATTCTCAGTCTCCATTACTAACAATCCCTTTCCCCCCCCCCCCCCCCCCCCCCCCGATAGGGTATATTGCTAGATATGCGATCAAGGTTACTTACTAATCTAAACATTATTCCGTTTATAATCTCCTTCGCCGTGTAGGTTCCGGCATAGAATGATCCATCCCTTCCTTTCCCGTGGGTGTCACAAGAAGCGATTAAGGGCGCTCAAGGTGGAGGGATGGGTAACAGCGTCCCTTTTAAAACATCTGTAAAAGCCTAACTGCGATTGCCGGGGGGAAAGGGATTGTTAGTGGGGTCTAACAGCTCCAATGCTAGCAATGTTACTAATCAGGTCGACCTCCACATGGTTCCCCCTGGCAAGCATCGTGGTTACTTCTTGTGGAATTCTTCACGATAGGCTAACTGACCTGCTTTCATCGTCATCTATCATCTATTACTGGTGCCCCGCCAGCATATACTGTTAGCGTAGGCGGGCTTACTATTGCATTATTACCCATTAAAAAAAACTGCGATTGCCCACTCGCCTGCCAAGCGTGGCAACTACTGGCAAAACTCCCTTACGGTAAGACTTATGTTCAGCAGTGAACAGTTAAAGACTGAAATAATAATAAAATGGACATAACAGGAAAATGACTATGGCGTCATGTCTCCACAGATTGTAATTTTTTTAACTAGTCCACAGGAACGGGTGTGAACGCCACGCGTGGCCTGTATGCCAGCACGCATGCAAAGTACTGTTTTCACCACTATTGCATAATTTTGCACATGATTTCACTGCACGCACGTGCGGCACCCATCAATCTATGTGGGTACGAATTCATTTAGATTTGACATTAGCAATTATGTACATAAGTTTAATGTTTTATTTATGGTATCGTGGCCTAGTAGTATTTATTTTATTTATTTATTTATTTAAGCTTAAATGTACAGTGAAACTATATATATGTACATATATAACGATGTACATATGGCGGACTTAACACCGGACGGTGTTCTCTACCAGTCAGCCATTGGGCGGACAGAGAAATAAGTAGGCGGTGCATTATTGAATTGAGGCAATATAAAATTAATACCTAATATATTAATATATACATATAATTAGACTAATATAAACATACGCAATAAATAAATATATAAATATTACTATAACAAGGTCGACCTACACGTGATCCTCCCTAGAAACCATCACGCTGAATTCCAGGTGTATACGTCACGGTGGGCTAACTGACCTGCCCTTTCATTCTCACCTATCATCCCTCAATAGTGCCTTGCCAGCGTATACCGATAGCGCAGGCAAGGTTTATTTTATTTTATTATCACCCATTAAAAAAAATCCACACAACTTTTGTACGAATGAAAACAGGCCAGTTAGCCCATCATGATGAATTCACTAGGAATTAACCATGATAGTTTCCAGGGAGAACCAAAGGGAGACTTTGTACAAAAGTCGATTGCTTGGGTACCTATGTCCCATTCGTGTTTCAACCGTGAAGCAGTTGTGTTTGCATGGCTGTGTTTCGGTTTGAAGGGTGGGATACTGCAGTGAATTTACAAGGTACAGAGAAATAACACCTGAGTCCTCAGGAATGGCAACGCATGGGGAGTATCATGGGCGAAACAGTATACTCTGTTATGTCCATGGTACTGCTCATGTCTATAGGCGACGGTTACCACTTTCCATCAAGTGGGCCATCAGCTTGTTTGCCATTCTAAGTTGTATAAAAAAAAACACGGACATCATAATTTGAATTATCATCCATAAAAAAAAAACTACTTTTGTACAAAGTCTCCCTCTGCTCGTAGTTCTACGTATGGTAAACCATTAACCACAGACATAGATAAAGATAGATGACGCAGCTACTGAACTACCGTCTTTGTGGTTACGGGAATATTACAGAAGCTATTTATTTAATTATAGCAAACCTGTACGCAAATAACTATTGCAATGTTTATTAAAAAATTCCTAAATTTGTTCACTTACTTTGTTGTTTATGCAAAACAAGTTCTATTTGCACTAATTTTAGATTAAAAAAAAAATTACTACACAAAAAGCATAATCAGTTTTTTATCGATGCTAATGGAACGGTAGCTCCACTTGCGCTTGCGCACTGTATACACTGGCGGGGCTCCAGTGAGTGAGAATGATAGGTGACAATGAAATGCATTTTCATTCTCACCTATCATCCCTCAGTCAGGTCAGTTAGACCATCATGAATTCAACAGAGATATACCATAATGGTTTCCAGGAGGGACCGCGTGGAGGTCGACCCGGTTGGGTATATAATCCCTCCCCCTTCTGCCAGCATCAAATTAGTATGAGACAGTTTAATAGTAAAATTATAGAAGTTAGTTACTAAATTAAGCAAATGAAATTTTTTTTTAATTATTATATTTTATTATTATTTATTTTTGTGTTATTAGTTATGAATAACTTTGTTTATTAATATAAAAAGCCGCCATTTCACCATAAGAGAATGTTTTCTAACTTCAATTCAATCAAATAAAAAGCTATTATTTAAAGTAATTAGCTGTTTAAAAATATGAATATTGTTTTCTTGATATATGAAGAACTACAGATATCATAAACTGTGGGATATCGAAAAGGTAACACATAGGATCTATAAAATGATGGTATAAGGCAGGGGAAGCACAAAAGATCCCAATAGATTCATGTGTAACAACTTAGCTGACTCCATATGTGAATTAAAGATAAGATAGGTATATAAAAAAGCGATGCAATTTAAAATGCAGTTTATTATTATGTATTTAAAATTTATTATTACTTAATTAACATTTATCATTACTTTGTTTTCACTTTGGTTACAGCTGGCAAACTGACAGGTATAGAAAACTGCTGATGATTAAAGTATATGAAGAACAGCAAGAAATGCGAACAACAATACACTGATATCATCAAAGGGAACAAGTCCGGGTATGAAGGTGGTGGAACTATAAACAATGATGCCACCAACAACCAGAACATGCCGAAGACGGAAAAAAAGAAATTAACACTCAGCAGATTGACCAAAACTGAGTTCTCATTTTTTGTAGTGTGCACAGTCTTGAACACACGGTTCGCATTGAAAAAAGAGAAGAAACCTGCACTTGGCTGCGCTAACTTGATTGATATGCTGTAGAAACATATGTAGATAACATTTGTTGCTATAAAAGGGATCAATAAACCATCTCTCAAGAGAAGAGGCAGCATACTGAAGTTGGACATGAGTAGAAACCAAAAACACATAAACGGATCTTCGGGAAAGTGCATCGCTACAGGCACAGCCACTAACAATATGCTTTTCTCATGTACTTGGAAGGAAAACAAGAAGAATGCGAGCGACACATTGATGAGGGAAAGAACAAATTTCTTCTTGTTAATCCTGAAGAATAAATCTAAACAAGAGGGCAACACTGCTGCCGCTGTTGCAACCAGACACATCTGTGCCATGTCCTCGTTTGTGTAAACTGTTTTTAGCTTAACAAACACATTTATGAAACACCACACATTGGAAACTTTGTCTTCGAAAACACCTCTCTTTAAGGGAAATACTCTATGTATGACTTGCAATATATCATTCCAAGATCCCGTAAAAGGATACCAAATTAAAATAAAACATGATATCACCGCTATGGCAAGCTTGTTGAAATTACTCACAATATGCTTAATCTTCCCTTTGGGTGGTAAACCAATAAAGCATTTACGTAATAAATAGCAGAAAAACGGCAGTGCATGATACAACTCCATCTGTTTATAGTTCAAAGCGAGAACAAAAAAAATTGTTGCTAACACATCATTCTCTATGGCAACTATAAAGAATGCAGCCCATAAGAACAGACCTAATGATACACAGTTGTATTGGAAGTGACCATGATCAATAAGAATTAAACCTGGATACAATAGAAACAGTATGCTCGCAATGTCCATGCGTTTAAACACATTTTTTTGGTCCTTAGGCTTCACTCTTTCAGCATCTATGCAGATACACAGTACAGCAGTCACATAGAAATATATATCACTGAGAAAAACTGTCCATCTCATGAATGTCTTATGAGTGTCACTTTCATAACCTCTTGAGGCAAATAGTCTCACTGATTCTGGGTCCAGCCAATCCGCCACCAGACCCATCAGGAGGCTGTGGTACGCCGTGAGGGGCGGGTAGTCCAATCCCCAGTATTGGAGGTCGTTTTGCGTGGTGTTATAGTACCAATTTTTAATCTGCATGTGAACGGTTATCTCTTGCCAGTGCCGCTGCGCTTCATAATCCCCAAACATCGGCGGTTTCTTTTGCCCAGAGTACGGATACGCCGCGACACACCACCGCACAAGTAGAGCGAAGAACAACCCAGGAAGCAGGGCATCTTTTGTGACATTGAATCTATCCGGATCGGCCTTTCTACTCATTGTATCAAAACTATCGCCAATTTAAACACAAAAAGGGCGCAATTCATTCATAAAACTAATTTCTAAATGACGCGGCAAGCGAGTCGATAGGATAATTTGACAGTACTTACGACGTGAACGGCGTCCAATTCCTTGGTGAGCTTTTCCTTCAAATATCCCTCCGTATACACCATATTCGTTAATTAAAATCCATACACAGCAGAAAATTAAAGCACAATTCACAATCGTAATTCACCTCTAACTATTAATTTATGTAAACTAATAATTTCCTCGCAGTGTGTTTAGGAATTTTTTTTTCGAAAGCGAGAAAACGAGAAAGTAGATCACACTCGAAAGTGAACTTGAAATTGCGGTCGCCGAACTGACGAATTTCATACCGGATGAAGTAAGTTCCGATAATTATAAGCCAACCAACATAAATTTCACAGTTTTGTTGAAATTTCGTCTCTAATGTCTAATGTTTAAATTTTGTTGGGTAATCGTGACCTTGACCAGTTAATGCAGAAGTGGCGGTAATTCGATCATTCATTCGCTTTTCATTTAATTTTCGCAAGACGTTGTATTTCGCATTCACTCGCAAATTTTATAAGCAAATAGTATGGTAATTATTGAGGAAAATAAAAACTAATCTTTTATATAGATTTTGAGCGATATAATATGATGCGGGTGACAGTTGACATTTTTATTAATTTTCTATAAAAGAACTGTATCTTTGAATGAAATTGAACTCCAATAATAATTGATATTTTCTTACAATTAAAATTTAAATGTTATAAACATTACATTAGACTGCACTCAGCATATAAAGGAAGCCGTAGACGGTCCCTGCTGATTCTCTTATGAAAACTATAAATCTTATTAATATTTTCCATAAATATTTATTTTAGTTTTTGGTTAATACAACAATTACTTAAGCTGATGGGATAGGTGGTAGATAAATTCTCTTTTAATTAAGATTTAAATAAGATTTATTTAAAATTTTAGAGATTAACTATCTGGTAACACAACTGTTTTCTAACCATAGACAACAATAAGTGGGATTTTTGAATATTCGGATTTTTTAAATTTTTCGTAAAGTTCCTTTGATTTCTTGTCTTTCAAATCTAGTATTTATATCATAAAAAAATATATATATGAAAATGGACGGCGAGACCATAACTTTAAAAAGAAATTTAACTGAATGGAGATTTAGTCAATATCCTAAATATATATTATTGCCTATAGATGAAAACCATGATCAAGTTAAATCGAACATCAAAAATGTTGTATTTTCCGAGGTATAATAAATAAAATTCTATTATCTCTCAAACATTTTATATACGATATATTATTTCCAATATTTTGTTTCTCTTCATTGATTACAATGATACATCATAATTACTGAATAAGTAACAATTCCTATTTTTTTTGTATTTTTTGTTTTTTATGTATTTTTTATTTAGTGTGATTTTTAATACGATCACAGAATTTTATCGCATCAATTTGTTTTCCATACGAACATTTGTATAAAATTAATTATCGCGCAAAATGTTATTCGTAAAAAATTGCGAAGAAGAAATACATAAAAGTCGGTAATATTTTAATATAAGATTTTAATGTATGTATTTGGATCTTGAAAAATATTATAACATATTTGTACTAATACACACAACTACACTAATAAAAGATGATTAATTAATAACCTACAGGTGACACCACGCCCTCTAGAGCGTAATATTAGACTGGTATGCGCGTCGGAAGACGCCCTGAAGAATATTCTGGACATGGATCCAGATATAGTGAATCGGGAGGAATTTACTGAATTTGTCGCCGGCAAAAAACTGCCGTATGGAGCTTTGCCTGTTGCACACAGGTACAAAAGTTGAAAATGAAAAATGTATAAGCGCTTATCGACAGTTTCTTTTACTTTTTTTTTACATATTTGTAAACTTATACTTTTAAAAATCGTTACGGTCACTCTTCTACAATAATAAATCTTATTTTCATTATGTACTTTTTCTCTCAGCTCTCCTAAATAAATGATAATTGAATCGATCGGTAGATACCTTATTATTAATGTTCGTATGAGAAAGAACAAGACGCCAAGTGTCGCTGTCTCGTTTCATCTCATGCACACCATAGTGTAAATTCAAATGCTGTTTGTCTAGGTGGCCTGTATAGACTTTAATGTAGTTCAATATTTTGCCGCTATAGAGGCTTATTTTGTAAGATAGGATAATTTAAAATATTGATTACTGTATTCAGGTATGGCGGTCATCAATACGGATCCTGGGTGGGACAATTAGGAGACGGGAGAGCACATATTCTTGGGGAATACGTTAATAGGTACCGATATTTTCTAATACTTCTTTTTCTTGTAAGACTAAGTTTGTATATCCTCTACTAAATACTTAGTTTTGTCTACGACTGTAATTAAGGGTCGGCAACGCGCGTGTGACACCTCTGGTGTTAAAGGCGTCCATAGACTACGATAACCACTTTTATCATCAAACGAGCCGTTTGCTTGTTTGCAACTGTAGTAGTATAAAAACAATCTTCGTACGCGTGGCATTTTGAAATAAATACAATAGAAAGAGACAAATCATTCTAAAAAAAAACATATTGTTTTGGCTTCTGTTACTCTTATTGAAATCCCTTATATTTTCTTAAATATACTACTGATATTGAAAACTGTATTGCCGTGTGCTCCCAGCATAGAATGAACCACCCCTTCCTTTCTAATGGGTGTGGTAAGACGCGACTAAAGAAATGGCCCAGAAATGGGCAGCCTAACTGCGGTTGTCAACGCGCCTGCCAAGCATGGCATCTACTGGCAAAACACCCCAATATGGTGAGACCTATGTTTAGAAGTAGACAGTTACTAGTTTAGTTAAAATATTGTAAACGAAAAAGTTTGTGAGCGTATTTGTACTATTTTGAATGACATTTGGTACACGAATACGGCATATCCTAAACAAGTCTTCTGTATGTGAAAATCGTATAGGCTAATTTTTATCTCTTTCTAAATGTATAATATTTATTGATAAAATATTACATAGACGAGGAGAGAGATGGCAGATCCAGCTAAAAGGTTCTGGTCAGACCCCATACGCCCGGGTCCACGACGGACGAGCGGTGCTTCGCTCAGTCATCAGGGAGATGGTTGCCTGCGAAGCGTGCCACTCTCTTGGCATACCCACTATTAGAGCTGCCGGAGTAGTTGGTCAGTTAAGTGTATTATATTTAGAAGTAAGCAAGCTGATTGCCAATTTGATAGAAATCACCACTTACAGAGATGTACAACACCATGGACATATATAGAATATACTGTAATAGTATATTACATGTACACTTTTTTAATGGGTGACAATGGAATGGTAATTTCGCCTGCGCTACCGGTATACACTAGCGAGGCACCAGTGAGAGATGACAGGAGAGAATGAAAGCTGATCAGTCAGCCTATCGTGGCAAATTCAAGAATTAACCACGAAAGTTTCCAGGGAGAACCGCATGGAGATCGACATGCTAGGGTATATTGCTGGCTTTGTCGATGTTACACCCCATTACTAATTATCCCGTTCCCCCTACATGGTATCCTCGATACGTTCCAATAGCTTGTAAACTTTTTCATCGCCATATCGCACCTCTCCAATCGAAATATAGCAATGAAAGCACTCCTGCATCACGGTAGATATATTGATATCATGCGAACGACTTTTGTCTCCGTTTAATTATTTTCATTTTGAATAAATAAAAGTTCTAATTTTGATTTTCAGTTAAGTTCATTTACATTATTTATATACATTGGTCGCAAATTGTAGAACCCACTTTTTTTTTTTTTTTTTTTGATGAGTGAAAATGGTATAGTAGTAGCCTGCGCTAACGGGATACGCTGGCGGAGCACCAGTGAAGGGTGATAGATGAGGATGAAAACAGGCCAGTTAGCCCATCATGATGAATTCATCAGGAATTAACCATGATAGTTTCTAGGGGAAACCGCGTGAAGATCGACCTGGTTGGGTATATTGCTAGCAATGGCATTCTCAGTCTCCATTACTAACAATCCCTTCCCTCCAGAACCCACTTATTATGTACCCTGTACCCTCTTATCTAGATCTCTTACATTTCCTATTATGATTAATTCCTGATGGGCTGATTAACTTACCTTCATCCTCATCCATCACTGGCACTCCGACGATGTATGCTGATAATGCAGGTGAGGTTACTATTCCAAATTCAACCTATTAAAAAAAAAATCACGTAACATCCGTTGTATTGCATATATCTTCATATCGATTCGTCGACTAAGAGAGGGCGAGAGATGGATAGCAGCGTCCCTGTTGAAACATCTTAGTTGTCATCTATCACCCTTCACTGGTCCTCCACCAGCGTATCCCATTAGCGCAGACGGGGTTACCATACCATTTTCACCCATCAAAAAAAAAACTGCAGGTGCCAATCCGCCTATCAAGCATGGCAACTACTGGTAAAATAAAAAAAAAAGGCTTATGTTCAGCAGTGGACAGTTCAAAGCTGATAAGATGATGATAAGTATGAATACATGAGGCCTCTTATTTTATTAGTTAGCGACGAAGCCGTGATCCGTGATATTTATTACAACGGTAACCCGCGGCGGGAGCGAGCGGCGGTGTTACTCCGGCTGGCGCCCAGTTGGTTTCGCTTTGGCTCCTTGGAAATACTTTCGAAGAGTGGAGAGTTGACAGTCTTGAGACAGCTCGTCGATTTCATCATTAAGGTATAATATATTTTGATCCACAAAGATATCGCCATCATCATCGTAATGATCGTTTAGTATATTGTTATATCAGCCATTAACTGTACACTGTTAAACCTAGGCATACCCCGTAAGGAGGTGCCAAAAGTTCCTACGCTTTGCAGACGGATTGGCAACCTCAGTTGAGCTTTGGTGACGTTTTAAGAGGGACGCTTCTGCTTATCATTCGAGCATTAAGTTCCCTTAGATCTTACGACACCCATGTGAAAAGAAATAAAGGTATACCTTTATTTCTTTTCACATGGGGTTGGGTTTCACACACAGTTTATTTATCAGCGCTGTAGCAATTAAATTGCTGCAGCAAATGCTGAGTGGTGGCCACATTGGCTTAACTTTTTGTTGTTGTCAATAAATGTTTTCTTTCTTTCTTTCTTTAAAAATATCGTATACCTGTAATCTTCGATATTGTTGTGCTACCCCATAACATAATTGCATTGTGAAGCACATGGCATGTCTTGGATGATCTTATATGTGTTGGTTTGTAACCATGATTGTTGGTAATAGGGTCTAACAGCCTTATACCTATCAAGTCAACCTCCGCGTGGTCCCTCTAGAAACCATTGTATTTAATTCCTGGTGAATTCGTTATGATCAGCCAATTGACTTGTCTCCACCCTTTACTATCATCTTTCACTACCGTCTCGTCAGTGTATATCGATAGCGCAGGTACGGTCACCATTCCACTATCATCCCATTAAAGAAACCCTTAAATTTTTGCTCTTGTATTTGCTAGTATTTCTTGTGTATATATGTTTTATTGGATAATTTTTGTTCCAGGAATACTTTCCAGATATTCAGTTAACGGACGAAAATCGCGTTATCCGTTTGTTTTCCGAGATCGCACACAGAACTTTAGATCTTGTCGCTAAATGGCAAGGTTCCTATAAACCATTAAATTTTTTTAATATACAAAAACCTTATTTTTATTGAACTAACGTAAATTTCCCCTTGCAGGTTTAGGTTTTACACATGGCCTCCTAAATACTGATAATATGAGCTTGCTCGGCCTGACATTAGATTATGGCCCATTTGGTTTCGTTGACTCGTACGATGCTGGCTATGTGGCCAACTGTTCGGATGGTGAAGGAAGATACGCGTTGGGAAAACAGCCTGATGTGAGATACCTAGATTTATTCAGCTGTTTTTATATGGGTGTATATTTTTGGTCCTTCAAGCCGGATTATTAAAGACTATTGTTAATTATTTTTTCGTCACATAAAATAGAGTTTAGTCTTTTCAGGTGATTTTATATACATATATATTTTTGGTCCATCGAGCCGGATTTTTAAATATAAAATCATTATTTTCTGTCACTAAATTCTATACAGTTGAGTTTTTCAGGTGGTTGTATGGAATGTGGGTCAACTAGCTATTGCTTTGAAACCTCTACTGACCTTATCCCAGCAGGTTCACATGTCATACATATTGAAGACTTTGGATACTTATTGCAAGAATAAAATTTTGTAGGTTACATTGCATTTTACATTGTCTATAGTTTTGATAGGTTATAAAATTAGATGTTTAACATTTAACCAATTAAAATAGAATGAAATTATGCATATTTATTATAATTAATTATTAATAAAAAATAGAAATAAAAGAACATAACCAATAAATAGCTTTTTTATTTTAGGGAAACCTTTTTGATGAAAATCGGTTTGAAAGAAGAGCGCTGGGGAGACGAGCAATTGGTGGAGAAATTACTTGACATGATGCAGCGAACGGGAGCCGACTTCACGTTTACCTTTAGACAACTAGCCGAAGTAAAGATTGTTTAATAATTAACTAGCGACCCACCCCAGTTTTGCACGGTATTTTTAACCCAGTTAAAAAATAAGGTTTTCAAGTCTGCTGTATTTTTTATGTTTGTAATCCCATTAATTCATTAATCGATTTGGGGAATCCTTTCTTTTGTCTGAAAGACTTAAAATTGGTCCCCTAGAAATTTTTACAAAATCAGTTCAGTGGTTTTTAAATTTAAATAACAGGTTTTGATTAATATCAGTTTTTATGAAACACAATTTTAAAGTATCGAAAATAAATGAAATGAAATGAAATGATATGAATTTATTTTGCTAGAATGCAGGTAATTTTAGATGACAGATGTTTATATTTCCCGTGTACATTCTGCCTCTATGGCGGCGTGCAAATTTTATCAATATAAGAAATTATATATATATATATATATATATATATATATATATATATATATATATATATATATATATATATATATTGTTCGCGACATTATTGTATATAGCGATATTATAGCAATGTTATAGTTAGTTGTTAAGTTTCTAGTTTGATCGTTTTTTGTATTCTGTTGTTTTATATAGATTTACATAGATTTAAGATAGTGTAAGTTAAATAAAGTATTCCTTTGTGTGTTGTCATTATTACCTACGAATAGAAATAGAAATTGTAACAATAAATAGAATTAAGAGATTGTAAATCGTAATAAATAAATAGACTCTATAGAGTACCGATCTGAAGAGACACGCGTCTCGCTCATTTCTCGCCCCGTCCCGCTCGCGCAGATTCGCTAACGCGAGTTGGAAACGTTATCGTGCGAGCGGGCGGGTATAAAGATAGGCCGCCTCCCGTCGAGCGGCATTCGCTTCCGGGCAGCGACACACTACACTCGAGAAGAAATAGGACAAGAAGAAAAATACTCTCTTCAGACGGTACCGGAGGCTTCAGAATACTAATCCCTGTGTTTCACTCCAGCCTGAACCAACGCCCCTACAGTCCACGCTCACTGTACGGCAGTCCACACAGTACATCGTGGTCCTTCGAGAAGCCGGATTGCTGGAGGAACACCGTTGGTACATCGAGAAGCCGGATCGCTGGAGGAAGACCATTCTGAAGCCGGATCGCCGGAATGCCGACTACGAGAAACATGAAGTCGTCGCAACAAAAAATCGCCGTCACCGAAGCCACAACGTCCGCCGCCACCACGTCGACTACGACCGCCGGAACGCTGTCCGTCGCTGCCACGCCGTCCGTTGCTGCCACCACGTCGTCTGCGGCTGTCAGAATGTCTTCTGTCGCTGCCACGTCGTCTACCGCCGCCACCACATCGACTACGAACACGTCCGGCGATACGACGACCACAGGAGCCACGGAGACTACCGAAGCCACAGGAACGACAGAGGAGACAGCAAGGAAAAAGGAACCGAAGCACGGCACGGCACGCACGGTTCGCACCACGGCCTCGCAGAAGAAGAAGGCTCTGGCCAAGGCACGGGAGGAGCTACTTCGAAAGGAGGTGGAATTGGCCGCCGCACGTGTCGCCGCCCTGGAAGCCGAATCAGAAGACGACGAGGAAATAGAAGACGACGACGCTACCGTCAGAAGAGAACGAACGTCGGATTGGGTTCATCGAAGCACGCTGGCACTCACGATGGAGCCACATGTACCAGAGATAGAAGAAGTCACCGGCAAGCGTCAGGGGTTCGTCCCATCGAGACCCGTTGAAGAGGATTCGAGAGCGCCGCCGCCACAGCCGAGCAGCGACGCACTTCACCGGGACCACGCACGCCACGTTGACCCACATGCCGCCATGCCTACGGTAGCAGCAGCGATGCAGTCGATGAAGAAGGAAGAACCGGTGCTGAAGGTGGGCATCGATTGTAATGAGTTTGCGATCGCCATGCAGATGGCCGCTCGCAACATACTGCCCTCCACAGCGTCAAGAGTCACCGAGTTGCCAGTCTTCAATGGATCGTCAAGCGAGTGGTTACCATGGAAGATGGCCTATGAAGAGAGCGCAAGTCAACTCACAGAACAAGAGAACCTAGCAAGACTGCGCAGAAGCTTGAAGGGGGCCGCAAAGGACGCGGCACGCTCCCTATTCGTCGGGTCTACGACCGCAGAAGAAGTAATATATAGCCGCGAGGTTCGGCCGCCCTGGAGCACTCGTCACAGCCGAACTGAACAAACTCCGCGCGCTACCACGACTCTCGGACAACGCAAAACGTCTGCCTCTTCAAGCAAGGTGCAGAACGTCGTCGCCACGATACATTTGAACAAGAGTCACTACCTCTACAACGAAGAAATAGTGAGAAACGTCACAGAGAAGATGCCGTCGGTACTACGCTTCAAGTACTACGATTTCGCCAACGACCAACCGGAGGGACAACCGGACCTCATAACACTCTCTCAGTTCCTGCAAAGGACCGCCGCACGATGTGGAAACTTCGCCCCCGCCGAGGAGATACCGTCCGAAGACCGGCGGGAGTCCGCTCCTAGGAAGACGGCGAAGACATACACGACGCAGGAGAAACCCGCTACACCACCGTGCCCGATGTGTCGACGAGAGGGACACGCTCCATCGGACTGCAAGACGATGAAGGAAGCGGACACATCGGCGAGATGGGATTAGCGAAGACTCATAGGCTGTGTTTCCGTTGCCTCAAAGTGAGAAGATTTCGCCACGCCTGCAAGAGCAAGAGATGTGGAGTAGATGAGTGCACTCAGACTCATCACCCTCTGCTGCACACCACGCGACAACAGCCGGAGAATGAAGTAACAACACACGTCGTCGAGGACAAGTCCGCCGCAGTCACCGCATCGGCAAGGGAAAACGACAAGATCGCGTTCCTGAAGATCCTGCCGATACGAGTCACCGGTCCCACGGGAAAAAACACCTACGCGCTACTGGACGACGGGTCGACTTGCACCATCATCGAGACGACGGTGGCGGAGCGAATCGGTGCTACGGGTCCCCCCGCACCATTCTACATGGAAGGTGTGGCCGGGGCGCGGATCAACGCAGCTCAATCGACGCGTGTTCACTTCAAGATCCGCGGGCGGAATTCACAAGAATACACAGTGGGGGCACGGACAATGGACAGACTGCAGTTATCACCGCAGTCGGTACCGCACAGCGTCATCAAGGGCTGTCCACATCTGCGGGACATAGAGAGGGAATTGGTCTATGAAGAGGGCAAACCGACGGTGCTGCTGGGGCAAGACAACTGGCACCTACTGCTGGCCCACGAAGTCAGAAGAGGATCCGACACGCAGCCGGTCGCATCACTCACCGACCTGGGATGGGTATTGCACGGTACGAGTCGCGGCAGGACAAGACAGCAGGTGCACAGAATCAGCCACATAGTGACGACACACGAAGAGGAACAATCGATGGAAGAAATGATGAAGCAACATTTCGCGCTCGAATCGCTGGGAATCGCACCGAAGAGGTCTTACAATGAAGAGGAACGTCGCGCCCTGCGCATTTTAGAAGAGAAAACTCGTCCGTTACCGGCGGGAGGATACGAGACGGGGTTACTATGGAAGAAGGACGACCCTGTGCCGCCGGACAACTACGAATCGGCAATGCGACGTCTCCAACTGGTCGAAAGGAAACTCGACAAGAACGAAGAAATTAAGAAGAGGTATGAACAGCAAATAGACACGCTACTCAAGAACGGGTATGCTGAAGTCGCCCCGCCACGGAGTTCCCAACGGGTGTGGTACCTGCCACACTTCGCCGTCATCAACCCGCAGAAACCGGGGAAACTGCGGATCGTGCACGACGCAGCAGCCAAGACGAAGGGCATCAGTTTGAACGACATGCTGCTGCCGGGCCCCGACTTACTTCAATCGCTACCGGGGTCCTCATGCGGTTCCGGCAACGACGGGTGGCAGTCACGGCGGACATAAAGGACATGTTCATGCGGGTCACCATACGGGAAGAAGACAGGGACATGCAACGGTTCCTGTGGCGAGGAGATCGACGAGAGGGTCCACCTGTGGAATATAGGATGAAGAGTGTCATATTCGGCGCAACGTCGTCACCGTGTACAGCGATCTACGTCAAGAACAAGAACGCAGAACAGTACAAGGAAGAGTTCCCGGAGGTAGCCACGGCCGATACAGCGGAGCTGCATACATTCGTCGACGCCAGCTCGGACGCGTACGCCTGTGCGGTGTACTGGCGGGCCGTAAACGCGACCGGCGAGGTCCACGTGTCGCTGATCGCGGCGAAGGGACGAGTGGCCCCATCAGCAAGGTGACCACGATACCGCGACTGGAGCTGCAAGCGGCCGTCCTCGGGTGTCGCCTATCGCGCACGGCAGTCGAAGAACACGACCTGAAGCCCGCTCGCCGAGTATACTGGTCGGACTCACGCACCGTGCTCGCATGGCTACGCACCGGTCCTCGCGCATACAAGCCGTTCGTCGCGCATAGAGTCGCCGAGATCGTCGAAGAAACGAAGACGAACGAGTGGAGGTGGATACCGACGCGGCACAACGTGGCAGACGACGCCACACGCGACCCACCGACGGATTTCGGCTCGCAGCATAGATGGTTCCGTGGGCCGGACTTCCTGTATCTCCCCGAAGAGCAGTGGCCGCGTGAAGATAGTACGAGCGACGATAGTCAAGCGGAAACGGGAGAAGAACGCGTACACAAGCTACAGAACGCGACGCAGTTGTATATAGCATTACCCGATCCGTCACGTTTTTCTAATTGGTTAAAACTTGTTCGCAGTTCAGCACGAGTGTTGCAGTTCATCGACCTCCTGCGACCGACCAGTGCTGCACCGCCATCCGAAAGAGAAACAAGAAGAAAGAGAGCGCCGACCCCACTTGGACCCGCACGAAGAAAGTCGATAGAGAGAAGACGAAGATGAAAATCAAGAACAGCAATAGTCCATCTGTGTGTTTCATCCCCATAGACACACACTACCTAGATCGCGCGCGACGGCTATGGATTCGCGCGATACAACAAGAGGCGTTCGGCGACGAAATCGCAGTATTGAAACAAGGAAAACAGCTGCCGTCATCCAGTCGACTCATACAGCTGTCAGTCGTCATAGACAACGACGACATTCTGCGACTTCGATCGAGGATAGCAGCCGCCGCCGATTTGTCAGCCGAGCAACGAGAGCCCCCCATCGTCGACGGAAACCACGCCTGGGTGCGCCTATACATCGCATGGGTGCATCGAAAACTTCACCACGGCGGCTTCGAGATCACCACGAACGAGGTGCGACAACACTTGTGGGTGTTGCGCCTACGACACGCCGTCCGCGGTGAACTGAAGAGGTGTCAGCTGTGCCGCCTACGAAGAGCAAGACCGGCGCAGCCATCAACGGGCAACCATCCACAGAGCAGGCTGGCGCATCATCAACGACCGTTCACGTTCACCGGCCTAGACTACTTCGGGCCTATGACCGTGACAGTGGGCCGCACTCACCAGAAGCGGTACGGAGTGCTCTTCACCTGCCTAACGACGCGCGCAGTCCACTTAGAAATCGCCGGCAGCCTCAGCACGGACTCCGCCATAATGGCCCTGCGGCGCTTCATAAGCCGCAGAGGGTGTCCCACTGAGCTATGGTCCGACCAAGGCACCAACCTCAAAGGTGCTGACGTCGAGTTGAAGAAGGCAGCCGAGGAAGCCATCCAAGAAGAGTCATCAGTCCATTTCATCCGGTGGCGCTACATTCCCCCGAGCGCACCCTTCATGGGAGGTGCGTGGGAACGGTTGGTGCGTAGCGTGAAGACCGCACTAGCCGCTACGTTGAACGAGCGGGCCCCCAAGGAAGAGGTCCTCCACACTCTGCTGGTCGAGGTCGAGCACACCCTCAATAGTCGACCGCTAACCCACGTGTCAACATCGGCAGACGACGACAGCGCCCTAACCCCCAATCACTTCATATTGGGCGGTCCATCGCGCGTCCCACTGCCAGGCAGCTTCACAGAGAGCGACGCGGCGGGACACAAGTTTTATATATGGCGTGCCAGCCAGAGGCTAGCTGACTGCTTCTGGAACCGGTGGGTGAAGGAGTACCTACCCGAGTTGCAACACCGGCGGGAGCCCCGAGCTACACACGGGGCCATCAAAATGGACGACCTGGTCCTAATAGCTGATGGGACCTTGCCTCGCAACACGTGGCCGCGAGGCGTGGTGGTGGCGACCTACCCTGGACCAGACGGCGAGGTTAGAGCGGTCGACGTGCGGACGAACAAGGGCATCCTACGGCGACCCACTAAGAAGCTGATCATACTGCCCACATCGACATCGAGCGACGCGAACACGAGTTAACTCCAGCTACGAGAGCTGCGGCGGGAGATTATGTTCGCGACATTATTGTATATAGCGATATTATAGCAATGTTATAGTTAGTTGTTAAGTTTCTAGTTTGATCGTTTTTTGTATTCTGTTGTTTTATATAGATTTACATAGATTTAAGATAGTGTAAGTTAAATAAAGTATTCCTTTGTGTGTTGTCATTATTACCTACGAATAGAAATAGAAATTGTAACAATAAATAGAATTAAGAAATTTTAAATAAATAAATAGACTCTATAGAGTACCGATCTGAAGAGACACGCGTCTCGCTCATTTCTCGCCCCGTCCCGCTCGCGCAGATTCGCTAACGCGAGTTGGAAACGTTATCGTGCGAGCGGGCGGGTATAAAGATAGGCCGCCTCCCGTCGAGCGGCATTCGCTTCCGGGCAGCGACACACTACACTCGAGAAGAAATAGGACAAGAAGAAAAATACTCTCTTCAGACGGTACCGGAGGCTCTCTGAATACTAATCCCTGTGTTTCACTCCAGCCTGAACCAACGCCCCTACAGTCCACGCTCACTGTACGGCAGTCCACACAGTACATATATATATATATATATATATATATATATATATATTCTACATTATATTTCCTTTCCTTTGTCATACAATATATTATATATAAGAACAGAAGCATCAACGCTATCTCTAGTGTAGGTTGTGAAGTGCATTTGTTTTTTTAGCGAAATATTCATTAATAGTATAAAACCCATTTATTAACATTAGTGTAACATAACAGTTCATGTTATGTTACATTAATTTTTAAAATGTATTAAGTGTTTTTTGAATTCACCCATTACAAATAAAACTCAAATCTGTAATAATTATTTTATTAATAAAATAATATTAATATTATTTTATTTTTCAGTTAAAACCAAGCGAGATGGTGTGCGAGGATATACTAGAAGACAAATGGTCACTAAAACGTTTATCATCTCACGCCTCTTGGAGCTGTTGGCTTGAACAGTATCGAGAGAGACTTGATAAGGAAGCTGGTACGTTTTTTTTTTTGATGGGTGTAAATCGTATGGTAACCCCGCCTGCGCTAACGGGATACGCTGGCGGAGCAGTGAAGGGTGATAAATGAGAATGAAAACAGGCCAGTTAGCCCATCATGATGAATTCATCAGGAATTAACCATGATAGTTCCCAGGGGACACGAGGAGATCCACCTGGTTGGGTATATTGCTAGCAATGGGATTCTCAGTCTCATTACTAACAATCCCTCCCCCCCCCCCTAAACAAGCTGGTACGTTAATTATCCTCGTAGGCAATATTCTGTCCTTACATAACACTATTTACTAGAGATCGCTTTTAGCGATAAGGCTGCCCATGGTTTTGTCACTGTGATAATTTCTTGTAATTGTTTGTATCTATAATAAATTTACTATTATAATCTTTTGGAGGAAACAATAAAGAGTATATATTTATTTTGATAGAATGATATCAACTACTCGTTGTGAATATACAATGACGAGATGAGGGATGATAGGTGAGAACGACGTCAGTTCAGTTGACGCATCGTAACTAATTTACCACAAAATAAACCACGGTGGTTTCTAAGAGGCATACGTTCAACTTACAGGGTATATTGTTAGGAATAAAGCTGTTAGGCCCAATTACTAGCAATTCCTTTCACTGTCACCCCTCCCCACACGTGACGTTAAAGTACGAACGAAGTTGATATGAATCAAATGTCGAATAGCTCCATGTAATCATTTATTCAATTTTATTTTCCAAACATCAGCAATCAGATATCTGTTTAGTTTTTTGCAATTTACTTTTTGACAGTGAATGCCAGTTCAGCCAGTTTGTTCGAGGACGAGCGTCGCCGGCGCATGTTAAGTGTGAATCCAGTATATATACCACGCAATTGGCTATTGCAGGAGGCTATAGTTGATGCAGAAAAAGACGATTTTCAAAAGGTATTTTTACATTTGGATTAATAAAAAAAAGAAATAAAAAATTGCACATCTTATTTTATACAAATCTACAAATTATTATAGGTGAAATTCCTGTTAGAAGTCATGAGGAATCCTTACGAAGTGCAACCAGAGGCGGAAAGACGCGGATTCTCTGCCCAGCCTCCCCAGTGGGCCTATGCTTTGAAGATTAGTTGTTCTACCTAAATGCATCTGTAGAATCCTTAATTATTTTAATAAATTATATTCGCAATTTAGTGTTATTATTTGGAAGTTTTTCGTGATTACAAAAACTCATAAAATACGTTATATTGGTTTCAATACTAGATAGGGTATTATTAATATGCTAGATATGGGATTGAGAACGGTATGCTTTGTTATCTAAGAATCGAAAATCTTTGTATAATCCCTACTCAGAAAAAAAAAACTAATTCATTGTCTTTGATTTTGGTCATTGACATAGATTGACATTGACACGTCTGTCTCAGCTGTGTCTTTCTGTTTTTTGCATCTGTCATTTCTGATAACAACAATAAATTATCTATTTATACTTAATTAATAACTTATAATTTTAATAATAATTATTGTTCCACTAATGTAATTGTTCATTATTTTTTTTGTTTTATTCTATTTACCTAACTACATACGTAAATGAAAAGGTAATAACAGTGAAACTAACTAAAAACTAAAAAAAAAAAATTGTCAAACAAGAGTAAAATATACAATAAAAATATAGTGATTATTAATATTAATATATCGTGAGATGATTTTTAGTAACTGCAACTGTGGTGCATACTAGTCGCATACACGAGTCGAGTTCATGAGGCGAGCCTTGTGTTTACTAACTACCTTAGTCCACGAATATAAGAATATGTCTATGAAAAATACGAAAAACTTCAAGGAATGGAAGTTTAAAGAACCACCGAGCTACGCTGAACTGCCTATCGATGATAATCCGGAGTACAACGTTCCTGTTGCTGTGAAAAATGCTGTCTTTTCAAAGGTAAAAGTGATAGTGGACATCACAGTATATACTGTGACACTCATCCATGATACCTTGCATGTATTACTATTAGTAATGATTAAGGTATTATGCCCACATTTTCTGTAAATTAACTGCAATATTTAATTCTTCAAAACTATCCAATAATACATGTTTGCTACTTTTGAACAGATTTTGAATTTATTTCTCACCTTTTTTATGCAACTTTGAATGGCAAACATACTGACAGGCCACCTGATGGAAAGTGGTAATCGTTGCCTATAGACATGAGCAGTACTATGGACATAATAGAGTATACTGTTTTATATTATTAGCAATGGAACTGATAATCTGCATTACTAACAATCCCTTCTCCCCCACATCCAGCAGTGAACGGATATTGGCTGAATGATAATGTTGATGATTCCATTCAAACTGAAATACAGCCATTGCTGGAACACAGAAATGTTAATGAGACAGAGGTACTCATATAGAAACATGCTCAAAGTAATGATTTTAATAGATGAATAAGTCTAGTCTAGTGTTTATTTTAAAATTATAAAGTTTTATATATAATGATTAATAGAATAAAAAAAAAACTGTGTTTAAAAAAGACCAAAAGTTCTTCAAAAAAAGGGGTAAAAAGGTTTCTTCATGGTAAGCAATGTGCTTGTAAAGCCTCTGGTATATGCACAATGGCCCAAATGAGGGGCTAAGTGCGGAAAATGAAGTCTTTTTCAAGCCTCTGGTATTGTAGGCGTTCATAGGCTCTGGTAATCATTTATCATCAGATAGGCCATGCACTTGTTTGCCACCTTAGTGGTATAAAAAAAAGAAAAGTCTCAAGAACTAAAGAAAAGGAGCTGATCCTTTCACACTATTTTGCAATGATCTGATGATGAATAATTGTAATTATTATTCCAGGTGCCCACAGAACCACTTATGGGCAAAGTCCAGTTAGTGTGTGTCTCTGGTGATGCTCTCACTGAAATTCTGGATTTGGACCCAGCTGTGGCCGAGTCTGAGGAGTTTGTGGACTTTATAGCTGGGAAATATCTCCCTGAAGGGGGCCTCACTGTTTGCCACCGGTACGTACTTCAACGCCATACTAAAATTAAACTCTACTGGCGTTGATTCTCTTACATATAGATATTGAATATAATTCAGTATGTCAGTACTATTAAGATGATATATTTTTATCTCCATATTATTTCTCTTCACTTTTTTTTTTATAGACCCATGTCTATAAAATTTTCAAATATATACATAGCCTACATTACTCCCTGATAACGTAGCTTTCTTTGTAAGAATTTTTAGAATAAGAATAATTTATTTGCTCGAAATGTGGTACAAAGGTCTTAAAATGGTAACTGAGCTACACATTTCGCCTTATCTAAAGGCATGCAAATTAAAATTGGTTGTGCAGTTTTTGAGTTTATTCATTACAAACAAACAAATCTTTCTTCTTCTTTGTAATATTAGTATAGATAGATAAAATTTACCAGAGCGAGACTTTGTACAAAAGTCTTTTGCTTCGCCACCTCTGTTCCATTCGTGTTTCTATCGTGAAACAGTTGTGTTGGCATGGCTGTGTTTCGGTTTAAAGGTTGGGATATGGCAGGGAATTTACATGGTACAGAGGCATAATAGTTTGGTCCTCAGTAATGGCAACGCATGGGGGGTATTATGGGCGAAACAGTATACTCTGTTATGTCCGTGGTACTGCTCATGTCTATATGCGACAGTTACCACTTTCCATCAGGTGGACAACTTTTTTGTCATTCTAAGTTACATAAAAAAAAATTACCTATGTAATGTTTGTTTTTTATGATCATAAATGATGTCCTGCTTCGCTTCAGAAATAAAAATACATCTCAAGAAGCATTGATTATTTATGATACTACTCAATCTTTCTCTCTCTCTCTCTGTATCATCAATTGTTTTTTTTTTTAGTTATGGAGGGTATCAATTTGGTGTATGGGCAGATCAGCTCGGTGATGGGCGCGCTCATATTCTCGGGGAGTATGTTAACAGGTAAGTGACCATGCTATCCAAACCAAGCACTGCTTGAACATGTAATATTTTAATACAGTGTTTTTAATTTTTAAAAACCTTGTAAAAATTTCTTTTTTTTTTTATACAACTTAGAATGGCAAACAAACTGACGGCCTACCTGATGGAAAGTGGTAACCGTCGCCTATAGACATGAGTAGTACCGTGGACATAACAGAGTATACTGTTTCGCCCATGATACCCCCCATGCGTTGCCATTCCTGAGGACTCAGATGTTATTCCTCTGTACCCAGTAAATTCACGTCATATCCCACCCTTCAAACCGAAACACAGCCATGCTAACACAACTGCTTCACGGTTGAAACACGAATGAGACAGAGGTACCCAAGCAATCGTTTTTTGTACAAAGTCTCCCTCTGGTATCTATCTTAGATATAAAAACGTGAGAGTGTAGTTTTTCCTAATTAATGACAATGATGTGGTAACCCCGCTTGCGAGGGGGAAGGGATTGTTAGCAATGGAGTTTGACAGCCCCATTGCTAGCAATATCAGGTCGACCTCCACGTGGTTCCCCCTGGAAACCATCGTGAACAATTCTCGTTGAATTCGTCACGATGGGCTAACTGACTTATTTCATCCTCACCTATCATCCTTCATTGGTACCCCGCCGGTGTATACCGATAGCGCGGGTGGGGTTACTATTTCATTATCACTTATTAAAAAAAACCCCGCTTGCGATAACGGTACACGCTGGCGAGGCATCAGTGAATGATGATAGGTGTGATGAAAAGGCAGATCTTCGTTAGATAGGTGAAAATGGAATGGCGGCCTAAAGAAAATAAAAAAAAAAAAAACTACCAAGCTACATCTATCTAGGAAATATCATTAATACATATCTTATGTGTCGTTGTATATGTCTATAAGGCATAAGGGATGGTTACCACTTTCCATCAGGTGGACCGTCAGCTTGTTGGCCATTCTAAGTTGCATAAAGAAAAACGAGTATACATATATATATGAAGGATAAGCAATCTGAAATGGCAATGGGCTGGTCACATAGCTTGAAGAATCGACAACCGATGGGGAAAAAAGGTTCTTGAGTGGCGACTCCGTATGGGCAAATATAGTGTAAGATGACCTTCCCCTCTTCACTAGATGGAGTGACGACCTCAAATGCATTGTAAGGAGTCAGTGAATGCAGGTGGCTCAGGACAGTTCCTTATGGCAGTCTATAGGGGGGGCTATGTCCAGCAGTGGACAGATAATGGCTGATTAAGTTATTACATTATACGTTCTAAAATTTCTAGCAAAGGTGAAACTTGGCAACCTCAACTCAAAGGTTCTGGCGAGACACCGTACTCTAGATTCGGGGACGGGCGCGCGGTTCTACGCTCCTCCATCAGGGAGATGGTGGCGTCTGAAGCATGCCACTTCCTCGGAATACCTACTACAAGGGCCGCCGCTTTGGTGGGTAAGGTATTTCGTATTATTTCGAATTAATCGTTTATTCACATACAAACATACAAATTGTATTTCCAATCGCCAGGGACAGACAGACATATTGTAATTAAATTTGAAATTATTAATTAATATAAAAAGATAAAGTTAAAATAAGAGGAAATACAGTTAAAATAATTAGTTTTTTTTTTAACTGTAATTCTTCTATAAATTATGGTTTTTTTATGGGTGGAAATGGTATGGTAACCCCGCCTGCGCTAACGGGATACGCTGGCGAAGCACCAGTGAAGGGTTATAGATGAGAATGAAAACAAGCCAGTTAGCCCATCATGATGAATTCATCAGGAATTAACCATGATAGTTTCCAAGGAGAAATGCGAGGAGGTCGACCTGGTTGGGTATATTGCTAGCAATGGGATTCTCAGTCTCCATTAGTAACAATCCCTTTCCCCCCTGTAAATTATGGTTAGGGCATTGTCTGTTTCTCCACTTTCTGTCATTAAGTGCCACTTTCCTGTGTTCCATTTTCAAGGGTGAAACTCTAAAATTGCTGGGCATTGTTTTATGTTTTTCACGTAACAAGGGCCTGTAGTCTGCAAGTGATGAAAAATAGTATAAATAAATAAAATAAATAAATATGCACAGTCAGTGAGGAGCACAAAGTATGGCGAGATAAAACATACAGCGGCCACGCGCGCCAGGAGAGTGCAGCAATAGTGATGCGCCTGTCACCATCCTGGTTCCGGCTCGGCTCCCTGGAGATATTCGACAAAAGGAAAGAACCCCACACTATGAAGATACTAGTTGACCATATTATCAAGGTAAACACGTTTTTCACTCTATCCTACATATAGAATAGATAATGTTATTTTTTTTTTAATATTATTTCAATTTTTAACTGTCCACTGCCTCTCTCTTTATGGGCGTAACTGTCCCATAAGTAGAATTATGCCAGTAGTTGCCATGTTTGGTAGACGAGTTGGTAACTGTATTTAGGCTTTTAGAGATGTTTATTATATATATATATATATATATATATATATATATATATAATTTTAAAATAATTGTAAAATAATTATTTCTTTTCCAGCATAATTTCCAGGATATCAGAGACGATGAAGATAAATATGTCAATTGGTACACAGAAGTGGCACACAGGAACCTTGACATGGTCGCAGCATGGCAGGGTAATTATATGCCGTACTAATTATGGACATGATTGTCAATTCTTAACTTAACTAACTTAACTTTAATTTAAATTAATTCTTGTATGTTGGAAGGAACTGGTTTACAAAACACAGGTTAACATAATTCATAAGTCATGTCAAAACAATATGCAATATTGCAACCTTGTTGTTAACCTTTCGTAAAATAAGATCTTGCAAAAAATGAAATTAATCGTCCGGCAACGGTTATTAGTGGACTGTATGAAATTTAATACAATGATGGTAGTTAACGTAAGAAACACAAGAGGACAATGAAAGTGGTGACCACTGACCTGAAGCTTTGTAGTTAGCAGGATTCGGATCTGGCTTTAGGCTTCCCAGTACTTCTGGCTCGTTCGAACTTACCCTCAGATCCAGGTTACCTATCCACCGCCTTGAACCGACCAGCAGTGCAATGCCCTCCTCTCAATCAGCCTCTTGGTTATGTGCGATATATTAATTTATACGATATTCGCGGCAATATATGCACGCGCACGATAATATTCAAAAACGAGAACGAACGACGACAACGAACGTACGATCTACCGACACATTCGATAACAATGGACAAGACTTTTTTTTTTTTTACGATATTGTTGCCAGTCGAAATTTATTAAAGCTACAATTCTTAACACCTGTATTTGTTAACAATTTTACTTACTTATTTATTTAATTTATACGTTCAAAGCCGCGTTAAACTGTTAATATTTTATTGAAATAGGTGTTGTTTTGCAGAATACCCTATCACTGGTTATTTAATTAGAATTACTTAATTTCACCACTCGAAAATTGACTACTATTATTATTAGAAGAAGTTCTACAACTTTTCATATTAACCATCAATCTCCGACTGCCATTTCGTCCACACACATTTTGCAACACGTATTTCACCTCTAAACCGAGGCGTCTTCAAGCAAATTAATAGATCGCTTCTCGGAGTCTAGGGTTTTTTTTTTAATGGATGGTAATGAAATGGTAACCCCACCCGCGCTATCGGTATACACCGATGGGGCACCAGTAAAGGATGATAGATGAAGATGAAGTAGGTCAGTTAGCCCATCGTGACGAATTCAACAAGAATTGTTCACGATGGTTTCAAGGGGGAACCACGTGCAGGTCAACCTAATAGGGCATGTTGCTAGCAATAGGGCTGTCAAACTCCATTGCTAACAATCCCTTTCCCCCTCGGAGTCTAAGGTTAACCGTTTGCAACTCAAACTTCACAGTTTGGTTGTATGGATGCATCTTTGAGTGTTAGTAGTCGCTAATGGTAGCGGAATTAAACAAAATAATTGTACCACCAGTAAAATTGTGAAAAATCATATTCCAATATTTTACGCTTTTTTTTCCAAACAATTTTCCAGGCTTTGGCTTCACTCACGGTGTTCTAAACACGGATAATGTGAGTGTACTGGGCGTCACAATTGACTACGGCCCCTACGGTTTTGTGGAGCATTACAACAGGCATTATGTACCGAACACCTCTGACGATATGGCCCGCTACGCGTACAGTAAACAGCCAGAGGTAATTACTATTTCCTACCACCTATTTGAAAGAAGCAAAATTAAAAATACGTATTTGGCTGCAATCTCTAACTTATGGGCAGACAGAGGATCTGATAAAACTTATTGTTTAAAATATTTATTGAAATGTAAGCATACTATAGTTACAAATTACACGCACGCGTACGCACGCGCACGCACGCGCACGCACGCACACGCACACATACATATACACTATTACAGATTATTGCATGGCTGTGTTTCGGTTTGAAGGGTGGGATATGGCGTGAAATTACTGGGTACGAAGGAATAACACCTGAGTCCTCAGGAATGGCAACGCATGGGTGGTATCATGGGCGAAACAGTATACTCTGTTATGTCCACGGTACTGCTCATGTCTATAGGCGACGGTTACCACTTTCCATCAGGTGGACCGTCAGCTTGTTTGCCATTCTAAGTTTTATAAAAAAATAATTGCATGTTTATTAACTACGGTTGCCAATACGCCTGCCAAACGTGGCAAATACTGGCAAAACTCCCAAGGGGAGCCTTACGTTCGGCAATGCGAGTAATTTTCCTGTGTTCCAGATAATCTTGTGGAATTTGGAGAAATTCGCCCTGGCGATGGAGCCGATACTGTCTGATGATCAAAAGAGGAGAATCCAAGATGTCAGACGTACTCTAGAGAAATATGCTAATGACAAAGTACTGTGAGTATTATTTGTGAAGTAACTAATTGATCGACATGTCTCTCCATGCCAGGTGCTATGGGTATGCATAAGTTCTTTTATTTCTTGACACATATTACGCAGCGCCATCTAGTTTAGTTTTGAGATCAAAATAACTGGTTTTATCACATTTGAAGTCGGTCTTAAATTATGAATTGTTAAATCGTCAACAGACGGACATATCTACTGAAGTTGGGTCTGAGTGAAGTACACGATGGTGATGAGCAGCTAGTCGACCAACTCCTGCAATTGATGCAAAATACAATGGCCGACTTCACTGCCACATTCAGGCAACTGGCTGAGGTAAGAAAGCATTTAAAATCCATTTTCAATTGACGTCGAAAGAGGGGAAAGGGATTGTTAGTAATGGAGACTGAGAATTCCATTGCTAGCAATATACCCAACTAGGTCGACCTCCTCGCGGTTCTCCCTGGAATCCACCAAAGCTTAACTGCGGCTGCCAATCAGCCTCAAGCGTGGTAAATGTTGGCAAAACCCCCTTATGGGAGATACTTATGTCCAGCAGTGGACAATTAACGACTGATATGATATGTTGAAAGTGAATATAAAACACTAATTTTACTTTATTCAAATTATATTCTACATGCAAAGCCAGGGTGGAAAGCTAGTAAATAATATGATTATGAACTAAAGTAGCAGACTGAAAGATTTTTTTTTATACAACTCAGAATGGCAAACAAGCTGACGGCCCACCTGATGGAAAGTGGTAACCGTCGCCTATAGACATGAGCAGTACCATGGACATAACAGAGTATACTGTTTCGCCCATGATACCCCCTCATGCGTTACCATTTCTGAAGACTCAGATGTTATTCCACTGTACCCAGTAAATTAACGCCATATCCCACCCTTCAAACCGAAACACAGCCATGCAAACACAGCTGCTTCACGGTTGAAACACGAATGGGACAGAGGTGCCCAAGCAATCGACTTTTGTACAAAGTCTCTCTCTGGTATAATCTGATCTATTGTGAAGTACAAATGTTCGCCTTATATTCTAAAGCATGCAAAATCATTATTGGGTACAAGTTATATTACATAGCTCTGGTATTGCAGGCGTTAATAGACGGTAACCACTTACCATCAGGTGGACCGTATGCTTATTTACCACCTCAGTGGTATAAAAAAAAAATATTAATGAACAAATCTCTTACAGGTAGACAGTAAGCAATTGTTGGACAAAACCGTATTGGAGGGGAAATGGTCTTTGAACAAGTTGCAAGAGGCGTCGCAGTGGTCCGTTTGGGTGCAGAAATACCGTGACAGATTGAATGCGGAGAATGGTAAATTGTTGTCTAAACTAAAAAATAGATTTCAGCCCATCGTGACTAATTCCACTAGAATTAACCACGATGGTTTCCAAGAGGAACCGCGTGGAGGACGACCTGATAGGGTGTATTGCTAGCAATAGGTCAGTTAAACCCTATTAATTAGGGGGAAAGGGATTGTTAGTAATGGAGACTGAGAATCCCATTGCTAGCAATATACCCAACCAGGTCGACCTTCTCGCGGTTCCCCCTGGAAACTATCATGGTTAATTCCTGATGAATTCATCATGATGGGCTAACTGGCCTGTTTTCATTCTCATCTATCACCCTTCACTGGTGCTCCGCCAGCGTATGCCATTAGCGCAGGCGGGGTTACCATACCATTTTCACCAATCAAAAAAACCCTTTCCCCCCGCTGTGTTTCGGTTTGACGGGTGGAATATGGCAGTGAATTTACAGGGTACAAAGGGACAACACCAGAGTCCTCAGGAATGGCAACGCATGGGGGGTATAATGGGCGAAACAGTATACTCTGTTATGTCCATGGTACTGCTCATGTCTATAGGCGACGGTTACCACTTTCCATCAGGTGCGCCGTATGCTTTTTTGTCATTCTCAGTTGTATAAAAAAATAACAAATAATGTTATATTACAGTGAGTGAAGAGCAGCGATGTGCTCGCATGGTCAAAGTGAATCCCGTATATGTACCAAGAAACTGGATACTACAGGAGGCGATCGCGGACGCGGAGAAGAACGACTTTGATAAGGTGACAATTGTTTTTTTAATGGATTATGTGGTAAACCCTGCCTGGTATATTTTTTTTGATGGGTGAAAATGGTATGGTAACCCCGCCTGTGCTAACGGGGTACACCGGCGGGGTACCAGTGAAAGATGATAGGTGAGGATGAAGCAGGCCAGTTAGCCCATCGTGACGAATTCAACAAGAATTGTTCACGACGGTTTCCAGGGGGAACCACGTGGAGGGCGACTTGATAGGGCATATTGCTAGCAATGGGGCTGTCAAACTCCATTGCTAACAACCCCTTTCCCCCTCAACCAACCATATGCTAAGGGCTTGCTAGAAAAATACTACTAATAAAGTAAGTTGTAAACTGATCAAGATATTTTAAATTAATCCGTGAAAAATTCACAAAAGATATTACGAAAACCTCACGTGGAGCCATATTTTTTAACCGACTTCAAATAAAGAGGTTTTCAATTTGTTTATATTTTTTGTTTCATCATCGTCATACCCTACAACTGTCCACTGCTGAATATAAGGCTCCCTTTGGAGGGGTTTGCCAGTAGTTGCCACGCTTGGCAACTGAATTCGCAACCGCAGATAGACTTTGTAGATGTTCCAAGAGGGACACTGCTGCTATCCCTCGCCCTCCCTTAATCATCTCTTACGACCCACGGGAAAGGAAGGGGTAGTCTATTCTATGCCGGGACCACGCGGCGGCTTATGTTTGTTACTGTTTTTTTTACAACTTAGAACGGCAAACAAGCTGACGGCCCACCTGATGGAAAGTGGTAACCGTCGCCTATAGACATGAGCAGTACCATGGACATAACAGAGTATACTGTTTCGCCCATGTTCCCCTCCATGCGTTGCCATTCCTGAGGACTCTGGTGTTATTCATCTGTACCCAGTAAATTCACGCCATATCCCACCCTTCAAACCGAAACACAGCCGTGCAAACACAACTGCTTCACGGTTGAAACTCGAATGAGACAGAGGTACCCAAGCAATCGACTTTTGTACAAAGTATCAGGATTCACTAGGTTTTTTCACAGAACAAAAAGTTAATTATTATATTTTTAATGTTACAGGTTAGATTATTGTTAAAGATCTTCAGAAATCCATTTGAGGTCAACGAGGAGGCTGAAATACTTGGCTACTCAGCACAGCCGCCGAGCTGGTCCTACGGCCTCAAACTCAGCTGCTCCAGCTAGACGTTTGCTACGTTCATAAATTGCCATAATCTCTTATATCCAATGGCATATTTAATATTTAGATAATGAACAGGAGTGTTATTGCATGTCTCTGAAAAGTTTTCTCGCATCCTGGAGTGGGTATGGATCGTCTAAAACAGCTTTTTCCAAAGTGGGCGATAACGCCCCCTTGTGGGCGCTGCATGCCTAAATAGAGACGGTAAGAGACCCAGGAAAAATGGGGGCGTTGTGTAGAGGCTTGGAGGGTGGTTTGTTGATCTTGAAGTAAGTGGTTTTTGAGTAGGTGAAAAAATGGGGGCGCTAAAAAATAATTTATTCTCAACTTAGGGTAGTAGACAAAATAAGTTTGGGAATCATTGAGTTCTAAAAAATGGGCCTATGTTTGTATAAGTCATATACCACGGTATATGACTATTGATTTTTTTTTTGGGATATAAAGAAATAAATATCGTCATCTTCCTACTCTTACCCTAATTATTATTTGGGGTCAGCGTAGTTTTTTATTTATATTACAAAAAATTGTCTTATAGTTTTACAACCGGCCGCCTGTCTCACGTCAACCCTCTTTGGGGTTATAATATAAAGAAATAAATATATAAAATTTAATAATAAAGATGATATAATAAATTAAATATATAAGAAGTATCTAAGAAACTAGGCGTCATAGAAAACATAACATCCATAAAATAATGTACAAATATATATATATATATATATATATATATATACCTAATATAAATAATGTATATATATTATGTTCCAAGCAAATTAAGAATTTTCTTTATATCATAAAAGGAGTTTTGCCAGTACTTGCTACGCTTGGCAAGCGGATTGGCAACTGCAGTTAGGCTTTTAGTGATGTCTTAAGAGGGCGATATTTTTTTATATACACAATTTATGTATTTAAGTCAATTTGATGTTATTATTTTAGTAATGATGTAAAAAAAAAAATATTTTGTTATACATTCAATATATATATTTATTAATTAAATAAATTGTTTCCTTTCAACATTATTGATAATTAAACTTCCTGCAATCATGTTCTCCATAATTTAACTAAAATATATTTACAATCAACTAATTATGAAATCCTTAAATCAGAAAAAATGTCGACCAAATCCACCAAAATGATATAAAATATTACACATAATCCTCATCAGCACTATCATCAGGCTCAGAGTAATCTTCATCATGATCTATCTTTCTTCTCTTCCGTTCTTGAATATTCTCCTTCTCTTCTTCACTGTTTTCATTCTTTGCCTCCGTTGGAGCAGATCGATGGTGGAAAACAAAGGAAATACTCTTAGCTAAATCCCAACACTGCTTCAGGACAAGATCAGCCAAGCTTTTCTTATCGGCACAATGGTACCAATTAGACAGATCTGATGTGCAATCAGAATTTTCCGGAGGCAATGTTACTTGGATATTGTTCACACATCTCTTACACTTAAACTTGCTGTGCGTATCTGATAGAGTGTTTTCCTCTAAACGGAACAAGTCTTTGAGGTCTTCTGATGTGAAGTGACGTAAAGCATCCTCATTCTGATCAACAACTGTGTCGCTCAGTGCTTTCTTGTGGGCCTGCCTTTGAAATATCTTCTCTTCAATAGTACCAGTTGCTAGAAGTCTGTAAATGTAACAAGGTTTCTTCTGTCCGTCACGCCAAACTCTGGCCATAGCTTGCTCATCGTTAGCTGGATTCCAGTCCGGATCAAACATGATTAAACGGTTCGCACCAATCAAATTCAAACCACATCCACCAGCTTTTGAGCTCAACATAAATATCCATTCCTTCGATTCCTTATTGTTAAAGCTCTCGACAACTTTAGCCCTTTTCTTTATGGTCATAGAACCATCCAATCTCACATACTGGTAACAGCGTTTCCTACATAATTTCTCAAATAAGTCCAAAGTCTGTGTATAATTTGACACTAAGACAATTTTGTCATCTGTATTTGTCTTCAGATTAGCTAATATACAATCGAGAATCATGAGTTTACCAGAATATTCTGGTTTAACATCTTTAATATCATAATTGGTCGGTAACAGATCTCTGGCTTTCTCAAACCCTTCAGATCTTTCCATAATTTTATCATAAACTAAATCAGGGTGATTACATAATTTCTTAAGTGTTGTGATATTGGATAGAGCACTGAGTGTGTTGCTCTTCTCTCCAGTGCCTGTGAATTTGTTTCTAATAGCATCAGAATTAATGAAATTCTTATATATTTCTGTCTGCAGTGGAGTCATTTTAACACAAATGACTTGTTCAAACTTCACTGGTAGATATTTAGTGAGTAGCGTGCTTGTCCTTCTGATCATGCATTTATTGACAATGGAGGTCAGTGTTTGAAGACACTCTTGTGCTCTTTCCCTTTCCTGAGGGGTTGCTAGGGCATCCTGTCCTTTCAGAATAGCATTCTCATACCTCTTTTTAAACTCTTGAGCAGTGCCAAGTATACCTTCATTAACAAAGTGCACCAAACTGAAATATTCTGTTAGATCATTCTGAATTGGAGTTCCCGAAATTAGTATCCTTCTTTTAGCTTTCAAACCCATCAATGCTTGGTAGGTTTGATTCTCACTATTTTTCAGTCTGTGCCCTTCATCGCATAAAACTAAACCAACCTCAGATGAATGTAGTATATTGGAGTATATCCTAAATGTTTCATATGAAATTATCAAAACTGGTGTGGCCACTCGAGTTGCTGAGTAAGTATTCATGAATTGCTGCAACTTCAAGGTTATCTCCGCTTTAGAACCGCCATCCATTGGCAGCGCATTTATTCTCTGTCCAAGCCATTTTTGTATTTCATTGTACCAATTTTTTACCAAACTACTAGGACAAACAATGATAGCTTTACAGATCGTTGGCTTGCACTCGGGCCCTTGTCGTAAAAGAGTCCAAAGCAGAGTGATACACTGTAATGTCTTACCTAAACCCATTTCATCGGCCATTATACATCCATACGCATTCTCAATCTGTTTTCCTGTAACACAGTCGTACATAAAGGCCACCCCTTCTCTCTGGTGAGGTCTCAATATATTTCCTAATACTGGATCGACGACAACTGCTACTTTTATGTCGTTAGGGCTCATTTTCATTTTCTCGTGTTCAGGTATATACGGAGGGCGATATAAAACTAGTGCGTTCGGCTCGTCCGGATCGTGTAGCGCCCGTCTCACTTGACTACGTTTTAGGCCCAAACTTTTACTACAATACGATGAAACATAATTCGGTATAGGTACCTTGAAGGGTTTACTTAATATCTGTCTGATTAAATTCTCGTGTTCCGAGGAAGACATCGTTTGCGAAGGAGATTTCTGAGCGAGCGGAATTCGTGCACATTCCCGCTTTTTTCGTTTTGAATTTAGTAAAGGACTTTTGAATACGTTGTCGCCAGAGCCGATTTGACTCGGCGCTAAGCTACGTCTCATTATAATAGTAATATTAGAGCACCATTAGGAAAAAAAGTGATGAAATAAACTTTTTACAAAACAATTCCAAATTCAAAATTGTTATTGTTAGCTTAACTTGTCAAATTCAAATTACTAAATGTCAAAAGTTTAAATCTGTCAAAACAAGATAATTGTCAACTATACAATGTTCGGAAAGGCGGGAAACTCGAATAAGAACAAGCGGGTTTTTTAAATTTTTTTTATTAATTTATTAAAACTATCTCTATCAATTCTTATTATTGAATAAAATATTATATTTTCACTAAATTCAGCGACAGTAATATAATTAGCATTCATGGGGAAGCGCAGTTGTAGAAAAAGGAAAAAAAAGATGACGATTCAGGTGATGTAGACCATGAACCTTGTAATGACAAGGATATATATTCGGAAGATACTTCTACTGACTCAGAATCTGAAATTGATAAGGCCGATAAGTATAAACCTTACTACGTCACAGATTATATTAGAAGATATCCCGAGGAATCCCCTGGGACAGAATTTGTTGTCTTTGTAGAATCCTCAGATAGTCAGAAAACCATTGGATCCAGAGACTTGCTCTCACTCTCCTCCTGTTTAAAACGATTTAATAAAGGGGTAACTTATCTTAGATCTATAAATAAATTCAAAATCGGAGTATACTTTCAAAAGCCAGACTTAGCCAATGCTTTTTTAAATAATAAAACTTTTTTAAATGACTACCATTTTAAGGCCAGTATTCCTGCTTCTTCAACAGAAGTTACAGGCGTTATTAGAAATGTACCTACAAATATATCTAATAAAAAAATATATACTATGATATCGAGTTCTAAGAAAATTATTGCTATTAAAAGAATTTTAAGAAAAAATACCTTGACTCATGGATATGTGTTACAGCCAACTCTAACCGTGACAATTACTTTTGCTGCATCTGTATTACCTGAATATCTGGATATTGGAGGTTGGCGCCACAATGTCACTCCATATATACCACCAGTTAAACAATGCTACGGTGCTTGAGGTATGGACATTTAGCTAAATTCTGTAAGAATTCTGAGCGTTGCAGCATCTGCAAAGGTGAGCATAATTATAAAACTTGTACAACTGGAATGGAAAACGCTATTTGTGTACACTGCAATGGAAATCACACAAGTGTATCACCGCAATGCCCTGTTAAACAAAAGAAAATTGCTGAAAATAGATCTAAATTCAGACCTGCTTCTTTTGGAGATATACTTAGCACTGAAATATTTCCTAAACTGGGTAACAAACCTAAAAAAAATGTAGACCTAATTTCAATTCTAAATTCTGATAACAAGAGTTTATCACTTTTAATAGAAAGCATAATCAAACTTATTTCACTACATAACACAAAGAACACATCTATTAACACTAAAAGTGTTTTGAATGTGTTATATGATACTTTTGGTAATAGACCTATTTCACAAAATTCAATCGAGACCAATTAACTATCATACAGTGGAACGCTCAGAGCCTACTGAGCAATCGACATATTTTTACACAATTTTTAAATGAACATCATATTCACATTGCTCTCATCTCAGAAACTTGGCTAAAACCACATTACAAATTAAAAATTAAAGATTATTGTATAGAACGAAATGATTGTGGTAATAACCACAATGGAGTAGCGATTATTTAACATAATAGTATTAGATATAAAAAACTTCACTCTTTTTTCGACAATTCTTTGCAAACTATAGCTATTAGTATTGAAGTTAATAATTCTTGGTATTCAGTTGCCAGTATTTACTGTCCTACCAATAGTACACCTAGTTTTACTAAAGCCAAATTTAAGTTCTTTTTGGAGTCTCTTCCTAAACCCACTATCATATCTGGAGATTTAAATGCACATCATACTATGTGGGGTTGTACCTCCACTAATACAAGAGGTAAAGACATTCTTGATTGTTTAGATGAATGTAATTTGGTACTATTAAATGATAAGCAAGTTACTACTGTTGGCTCTCATATTTGGAGACCCAATGGCCTTGATTTAACTATGGTATCCCCATCCATATCATTAAAATGCGAGTGGTCGGTTCATGATGATCCGTTAGGAAGTTATCACCTGCCGACTTTTACTAAAATAAACACAAAGAACTCTTCATCAACTCCGTCAGGTGAACAACATGCTCCTATAGATGAAGTTAATAAACTTTTGTTAAATCGTATAAACCTACGTCTCGTTAATTGGGATCTTTATTCTGAAACTGTTAATCAATTACTTTTGGATTTCGAGTATGATGTCAATGAACCCTTAAACAATTACAATAGGTTCTGTAAAATTATTTTGACAGCTGTGGAACGTTCCGTTCCACGTAGGAACTTATCAAATAGCGGTGCAAATACTTCAAAGAGGCACAAACATATTGCAGTACCTTGGTGGAATAACAGGTGTGCGACAGCTGTCAATGATAGTAAAGCGGCTTACCTTAGGTTTAAACAAAATCCAACTCTCGATAATTACATAAATTTTAAAAGAGTTCAAGCTGTTAAAAAGTTAGTAATTAAGCAAGTAAGACAACAGGGGTGGCAGGAATTTTGTTCCAAATTTAATAGATTAACACCAATTTCCACTGTTTGGCAAAATATGAGAAAACTAAATTCAAAACATCGTCAAAATCATTTTAAAGATATATCATGGGTCAATGATTTTTTACGCAAATATACTCCTGATTTTGTACACTCATCTTTTGATGACAAACAGTTTAATTCTGTTAATTCATGCCCAAAATTTCTCACTGACCCATTCTCAATTGATGAAATATCCAGTGCAGTAAAATCTAGAAAAGATACAGCTAGTGGCCTTGATCGCTTAACATACAATATGTTTCGATTGCTGAATAAAATAAACCTTACTAAACTCTTACAAATTTTTAACGATTTATGGAAGGACTGTATTATCCCACCAGAATGGAAAATGGATTGTTTGATTCCAGTAATTAAACCCGGTAAAGATCCTACAAATTTCGACTCCTATAGACCTATAACATTGACGTCCTGTGCAGGCAAATTATTCGAACAATTAATTAAACAGCGTTTAGAGTTCTTTATTGAAAGTAATAGTATATTACCATCGAATCAATTTGGTTTTCGCCGTGGATATTCAGCGCGCGAAAGTTTAGCGAACTTCTATGTCGACCTTAGTACTGCTTTGAATAACGATGAATATGTTCTATCTGTTTTTTTAGATGTCGTAGGAGCTTTTAACAATGTAAATTTAACAGTTCTATCTTCGATTTTATCCTCATTTCTTCCAATGAAACTTATCGAATGGATTTATAATTTTCTTAGTAATAGAGAAGTGTATGTTAAAGTAAATAGTAAATTAATAGGACCTAGGTTAAGCTCTAAAGGAGTATGTCAAGGTGGTATTCTAAGCCCGCTACTATATATTTTATATATCTATAAACTTAATTCAATTTTAGGAAACAGTGTGAACAACTTGCAATTTGCCGATGATTTATTAATTTATATAAAAGGAAAGAATATTATTGATATGCAATTAGTGTTAAATGAGTCATTAAAAAGACTTGAGAAATATTTTTCTCTTCTTTCCCTCGATATTAGTTTAACCAAAAGTAAAGTAGTTGTTTTTCATCAAGTTCATAAATATGTTCCATTAATGAATATTATATATAATAATCAAACTCTTCCAACAGACTGTAGCGTTAAATTTCTGGAGGTAATTTTTCATCAAAATTTAAAATGGGATCTATACGTTGATTGCTTAGTAGATCGTGCTTTAAGAGCCACTAATATAATAAGATCTGTAATTGGTCGTAACTGGGGAGCTGATCCTAAAATTATCCTTTTACTTTACAAATCTCTTGTTAGAAGTAATTTTGATTACGCTTTCTTTTGTTATGCCTCAGAACATAAATTAGTAGAAAAACTCGAAAAAATTCAAAATATGAATTTAAGACTTATTTTAGGTGCTATGTATACTTCTCCAATTATCTCAATGCAAGTAGAATGTAATTTGCCTCCTATCCTTCTTCGTTTCGAATACCTAAAACTCAAATTTCTCTTCAAAGTTTTTTCAGTTTCCAATAACCCACTCATACTCAAATTATTAAATTGCCCCATTTCTATGTTTTTGAATAAAACTATTGTCAATGATTTGAATTTACGAGATGAATATAACATCTATAGTAGTAAGATACTTCCTTGTTATAATGGCCTTTATGAGAGTAAGTTCTGTAAAATCAAAATTGTTATACGTAAAGACATAAAAGAAAAGCACGATATGTATGAGACTTTATCAGAATTTATTGACTACAGGCAGATATATACAGATGGTTCCAAAAATGCACTTAGCACTTCAGTGGCTTTTTACGATTTGTCAAATAGATTTGGTCACGGTTATAAAATTTCAACTTTGGCTAGTATTTACACAGCAGAAGCAAAAGCTATATTTTTAGCATTAGAATACATAGAAAAACAGGTACTATATTCGAAATGGATTATAATTACAGATAGTATGAGTGTTCTTATGGCATTAAAAAATAACACATTCATTTCATCATCAAACTACTTAATTCAAGAAATTCGTAATAAATATTATCATCTCTGTACTATATATGGAAAAGATATTATCTTCATCTGGACCCCTTCACATATTGGAGTGTTTGGGAATGAACAAGTAGACACTTTGGCTAAAATTATTAATTCAAGTGCTGCTCGTGTTCAAGATTTACCCCTTTGTTACTCAGATTGTAGTATTGGAATACATAAAATCGTTACAACTAAATGGGAGGAGCATTGGACTCAAATATTACAGACTAAAGGCAAATGGTACCGCAAAATTAATTGGCGTATTGGAAAACCGTGGTTCTGCAAAGGAAAGGACACAAACAGAAAATTTTACACCAATATTTGTAGATTACGAATCGGCCACGGACATTTCAACGAACACCTGCACCGAATGGGCATGATCGCTTCCCCATCATGCACATGGTGTAACTCAAATACAGCCCAAACTCTACATCACCTTTTTTTTGATTGCTCTGAATTTGTCATTCAAAGACACATTATGTTTGACGAACTTAGGATTATCTTCAAAAAACCCGAAAATATCCCGCACTCAATCCCGATTCTCTTAAGATTTCCTTCTTGTTTCAAAGCTATTTTCACTTATATTACTACAACATTCAAGGAGCTATAAGAATACTTTTATTGAATTGCAAGACAATGATTTTTTATAATTATTTATTTTTAATTTGATAAATCCACTGGTTTAAGAAAACTCAAGAAAAGATATTTATGAAAATGTACTTACCGGATTTGACAAATGAAATATTGAAGATTATGACAATAATTGAAGCGACATTAGAAAAATAAAATTCCAGACAAATTATCTTCTTGAAGACTAGGCAGCATGGTCTCCGACCTTAGCCTGTTCCAAACGGAACAAACGTACTAAAAAAAAAAACAATGTTCGATTTACACACTTGTTACAAGCGTCGACAAGGGGCCACAGAGTATATTACACAGTTATCTACACGTAAAGGATTGGCCATTCTAAACTATGCTGATGCTGGGGAAGGGATTATTAGTAATGGGGTAAAATAGCCCCAATACTAGTAATATAACCTGTCAGGTCGATCTCCACGTGATTCCCCTGGAAACCGTGGCTAATTTTAGTTGAATTCGTCACGATGGGCTAGGCAGTACCTGCTTTCATCCTCATCAGTCATCTATCATTGGTGCCCCTCTAGTGTATACCGATAGCACAGACAGGGTTACCATACCATTATCACCCAATAAAAAAAAAAAAAACTATGCTAATATCATGTAGTGTACAAAATTTATTCTCTAGTTTATTGTTAAATAATAGTCGTAGTATATATATTCTAAGAATATTCTTTGTTTTATGATTCAGCCTACATATTCTGATCTCCAGTATATCTATATTTTTACTGTAAATAAATATAATAATAAAAAATATAATAATATCAAATTATCATTCCAGTAGAAAGTATTTATTACTTTTTTTTTATACAACTTAGAATGGCAAACAAGCTGACGGCCCAACTGATGGAAGGTGGTAACGGTCGCCTATAGACATGAGCAGTACCATGGACATAACAGAGTATACTGTTTCGCCCATGATACCCCCCATGCGTTGCCATTCCTGAGGACTCAGGTGTTATTTCTCCGTACCCAGTAAATTCACGCCATATCCCACCCTACAAACCGAAACACAGCCATGCAAACACAACTGCTTCACGGTTCAAACACGAATTATAACTTGATAATCAATAATCTAAAATATGTACATTAAGGGATCAAAATTAAATTTTATTTCAATATACTTTCCTTCTCCTTTATCCAAATGTTGTCTGGAAGAGATTACTTTAGCGTTAAGATGTCTGTTATGTCCACGGTACTGCGCATGTCTATAGGCGACGGTTACCACTTTCCATCAGGTGGGCCGTCAGCTTGTTTGCTTTTCTAAGTTGTATAAAAAAAAATCGCCTTTTATACTCCACAAGTGTTTATCTTTGTAGTATTCTTTAAGTAGTGCAATATAGTAAATAAACAGGCGTCGCTGTGCTGTCTAAGAAATGAACACTCTCAAGGACTTGTTGGTGACAAGAAAATTAAAATAAAAGAAATACATAGAATTACAAAAATACTTTATTAAAAAAACAACAAAACAAAACTTCCACTTACTTTAAGATTTCATCTTGATGTGTGACATCGATGAATTGGTACATAGATCACAGACAATTTGAAAATATTAAGTTTCACTTGTGCAGTGTAAGTATATAATTAAACATAAAAAAAAATCGAATCAGGATTTTATAGTATGCATAATACAATATGCATTGAAGCGGATTAGATAATGCACTGTAACTTTGCTGCAGTATGCTGTACAGTCATTAATTTGCTTGTGTATTAAAATGTATGAAGCAATATTACATGTAATATTACATATCTTGTTATATGTTTATACATTTATTTAAGACCGACGACCAGACAGAAGTAATTGAAGTTTTAGCAAATTTTGGCTTAAAGAAAAACCATAGATACAATTTTTCTTCTTTTATATGCCTACAATATGCTGGTTAGAGTTATGTTGTTCAAGATAGGCCAACTTGGCAATTGTCATAGATATTGGTGAATTAATTTCTTTAAGTGGTGAGCAATCTGATGAGACAATCTTGTGACACATTTGCGAATTTTGAACCAATTTGACGATTACCAAACGACTCCAGTGTTGGTATTAATTTTGTCACAATTAAAGATTTTTTTAGAAACAATATCGGTAATTAAAATTTAATTTACTTTAAATATTTTGATGAAAAAATGGCGAGTATATTTAAATATGTCACAGATAATATATACTATGTTGATATTTACACGCGCGCCATGTGTAGTTGATCTGCAGTTTGCAGGCGAGCAAGGGAGTGCAGTGGAGAGTGGGGGAGAGTAAACCGGTACCGCGATTGCTAGGACGGCCTATCACGAACAGTAATACATTGAGATGTTTAAATTACTTCATTAACGCATACGTAAACATTCTGATAACATTACGAAGGAATCTGTAACATGTTTGTCTTTAAAACCAAAATTTCAATTTAATAACAAAATCATGAATCTAGGACCAGTATGAATCTAAAGTTATGGGAATTTTGTATGGACTAGTAACATATTTTTATAGCAATCACTGTGGCCTATTTTGAGGCACTATTTTCTTAAACATATCTCTTAATTTAATATTTTTAAATTGACAATTTGATGAAATTATTGTTTTATGACCATCATAAATTAAATTTATAATAATTTTAACTTAAATCTAGTAGAAATTTTACATTGATGTCAAATTGAAATTTTTATTTTAGAGTAGTGGCAACACCAACTTTATCCATGCCTTTTTTTAGGCGCGAATCAAAACTCCTTATATCTTGGTGGTCCATAGTATAATACTTTTAAAACTTATATTTTAGAGATAATGACATTTAATGACATCTTTTCATACCGGCGAGCGTGTATGAAAAGATTAATGAATGTGGAAGAAGCGAAAGAGGTTTGTTTGAATCGAAGCATTTAACGTTCTATTGTTTCTGCCTACCTTAATGGGAGACAGGCGTGACGGATATGTATGTATGTATAATGACATTTCAAAATTCCCATTCGGTGTTTGTCATTTTTGTGATAGTCAATATTTAACTAATAATATAGCACACAAGAAAAAAACCGACAAAACTATTTATAATTAGAAATTAAAATCATTAGCATTCATTTACGCGAGTGTTCTATCAACGAAACAGAAGAAATTTTTAAAAGAAACATCGCTCGAAAAACGATAACAAAATAAGGACTTCGCATATTTACAGAAAATAACCAATTATCAGGTTTCCTTGATAGAACTCGTTGTTAAAATAATGCAAATACTTTTTACTCCATCTGTTAGCTGGACTCAAGACTGCGGTTTGTTAAATTAAAAAAAAAAATATGGCTAACGATCTGACAGCCTACCTGATGATATGTAACAGTCGCCTATAAACATGAACAGCACCAGTCGTCACAGAAAACACTGTATGCTTACTGTTCAAGTTTCATACAATATTGGGGGCCGATTCTATGGCGTTATTTTTTTGAACCTATCTTTTAACCAAATATTTTGATAGTTTCACGAATTTACTGTTCTTTATTTTTTTTATTTTTTATTATACACAAAAGGTTATTGAAATGTAAAAACAAACATAATAGTGCACAAAGGCGAGCTTATCTCCAATAGAGATTTCCTCCAGCAAACCCAATATGAGAACAACTGACAGTTCATTAGTAGTTACAGTCATACATGTGTACCGATCGACTTAAATGTTATAGTTAAAATAAATAAATAATAATAATAATAACTGTTATATGTATTCATCGTAAATTTATAATAATTTTTAATTAAATAAATAGAAATTTACATACAATTCTTAGATTACATACATTTTATTGTGATACAAAATAAAAATTTTAGAGATAGGTTTAAAGGACGCTTCAGATTTGACCCTATTAACTCAATAATAATAGGGGGGAAAGGGATTGTTAGTAATGGAGATTGAGAATCCCTTTGCTAGCAATATACCCAACCAGGTCGACCTCCTCGCTGTTTCTCCTGGAAACTATCATGATTAATTCCTGATGAATTCATCATGATGAGCCAACTGGCCTGTTTTCATTCTCATCTATTACCTTTCACTGGTGCTCCGCCAGCGTATCCCGTTAGCGCAGGCGGGGTTACCATACCATTTTCTACCAATAAAAAAAAACTCCATAATAATTCTTGTATGGTATTACAGTTGAGTCCAGCCGAAAGATGCTTGAATGATTTAATATTTTCTAATATTAATAATTTATAATAAAAAAATAAAGTCAAAAATACAAAATTAAATGGACATTCTATATTATGGTGACCTTAATTAAGTGTGATGTAAATATATATACAAAATGTGTATCATGGGACTGGAGGCCACTATGGTGGATTCATAAACAAACAGGACATGGCTACATATTATGGTATGATATACCATAATATGTAGCCATGTCCTGTGTGTAGCCACACAACCAAGCAAGTTAACAAAATAAATTCAGATATACAGAATTATAGTTTGTTTCAATTGAACTTAATCAAAATGTAAGCAATGTTTTGTCCAAATTATTTCAGAAAATGCTTTTAAACCGCGAAACTGGTAGGGTACTTACAATTTTTTATTTATTTATTATTTATTGACCACTTTACAAAAAAATTTTTGGTAGAAACGGCGGGTTTAATGCTATATAGCATTCTCTGTCAGTCAAGTGCTTTGGTAAAACAGAAATGTAATTATGAATGGTGAAAAATATTGAAAACTGTTGTGGTTAAATAGTTACTTTTATATTATTACTTGATAATAGAGAGACTCAAACGATTTTTTTATTCTTTCTCCTATAGAAAGTCATCTTACTTGCGAGTAACATATAATATTTTACATTATTTATTTATTTACTGCAAACAAATATTCTTGTTAATACACTTTTAAATACATTTATAAATTTATTTTCGAAAATTTTATCTACCCGTATAAAGTCAGGATGAATAGCTAGTCGTTTTTTTTTTGTTGTTACGATACAAGTAAAGCTTTTTTCAGAGCAAAATCTGTATAACAAATTTGTTTGTTTTGTACTTTTTTTTTATTATCGAATCAATTTTACTGTCAGAAAATCCCCTTACTATTTTCTTTGTTCAAAATTTTAACTTATTTATTTTTTATTTGGATTACTTACAACATATATGTGTATGCATATATATGTGTATGTATATATATATATATATATATATATATATATATATATATATATATATATATATATATATATATATATATATATATATATATATATATATATATATATATATATATATATATCTCGACTTATATTATTATATATATATATATTGTAACCCACAGGAAAAAAGGTACGATATGCCCCAGTTTTATTTTATGTCCGTCCTCTACCTCGCCTTCTCTTTAGAGTGTATACTGAATTTGTGAGTGTTTGTGTGTTTGGTGTATGCATTGTGTTGGATGAATCTGGTATGTTTGTTGAGTATTGTGTGTTAGTTGCCTGTTGGATGGTTGGTGACCGGTGTGTGTCTTGAGCGTGATGATTTTGTGTATTTTGTACAAATATGGTATCTCCCAATACTCTGCTGAGTATGGTTGATGTGTGAATGGCTGCTTGTTTTTGCAAGATTGTGATGTTAATTTTTTTTTGAAAAATTTAGCTTATTTATGTAGTTATATATATATATATATATATATATATATATATATATATATATATATATATATTAATATATATATTGTATATTATTTATAATATTATTCGGTGCGATATTGATATTATTATGTCTGTAAATAATAATTATATTTAAATTTTTTTTTTAATCATCATTGCTCTAAAACACTTTCTATTTTTACCCAATGGTTATCTGGTAAAGCATGCTATATGTCATTAAGCTCGCCATTAGTACAAATTTTATTATTGCAATATAAAATAAATAAATTTCTTTGTTTACATTTCGATTAAGTGCTCCTGAAACAGGTTCTACCACTGGATCTTCAAGGTCAATGCGGGAGGTAATTCTTCGTCTATTTCTTGGGCATCCTGTACACTTTAACACTGGGAGTGTCTTCGTATACACAGTCTGTTCTGGACGGGTACACACTCTTGAGGTTACCTTCGGGATCCACGATTTTTACCTGGAAATATTAAGGGTAATAGGTAAGTTGACAATAGTAAATGGATTTTTATATATATATATATATATATATATATATATATATATATATATATATATATATATATATATATGTATATATATATATATATATACACACACACACACATATATACTTTAATCTTTTTTACATTGATTGAATTGATCGGTTTTTATATCGATCAATTGTATAGTTACAATCTTCAAATGTGGATATAATTCGACTATGTATTGAATGTCATTTAGCTGTATGTTTTCCTAAAAATAAATAAATAAATAATTTCAAGAGTATACCAGCAGGTCGATTTTTATTTTATTTAAATAAATATGAGCCCGGAATTTTTTTTTCGAAATTTTTCCTCAGAAATGGCAACGCATGGGGGTATCATGGGCGAAACAGTATACTCTGTTAAGTCCAAGGTACTGCTCATGTCTATAGGCGACGGTTGCCGCTTTCCATCGGGTGGGCCGTCAGCTTGTTTGCCATTCAAAGTTGTATAAAAAAAAATTTTTTTTTCTGATATAATATAAATGTACATATGTATGTATGTAGCTGTTATTTACAATGATTTAGAAATGAAATCATATTACATGTCTATACATGGTTATAAATCAAGGTATTTAGTAAAAAATAAGCATCATTACGAATCATTATGTACTGTTTATGTTGTCGCCTTCTTATACCACACACGGGAAACAAAGGGATGGTCCATAGGGGGCAAAGAATGATGTCGGGGACCACACGGCGGCGATTGGCGTAATTTTTTTAAAAAAATGCCCTTTGCCTGTCAAAAGTTACTTGTTACATATAGATAGATACATAAAATAAGCACCTGCTGGACGGTGAGCGTGTGGTAGCCGGAGTCTGGCGCGTCATCTCCGATGCCGAGCAGCAGGCACTCTTGGAGTAGCTTGTTCATGACCGTTTTGCAGGAGGCGAGGGACGCATGGGAGGTCACCTCCACTAGCATGCTCTTCGATTCGTACGACATCTGGTGTTAAAATTATATAAGCATCTATATTAAACAAGAAGTACTGTTACAAATATCTAATATATAAAATTCTCGTGTCATGGTGTTTGTTACCAAACTCCTCCGAAACGGCTTTACAGATTGTCATGAAATTTTGTGTGCATATCGAGTAGGTCTGAGAATCGGCCAACATCTATTTTTCATACCCCTCAATCATAAGGGTAACCTACCCCTATACTTTTTTTTTATTTTTTTGACAAAATGTTTATATTTTTATTTTATTATGATTTAGCGTTGAAAAATACATACAACTTCAAATTTTCACCCTTTTACGATTAACCTCTGGTTTTTAATCGCGATTTTTATATTTCGCAAAAGGTTGCAAGATGGCGATCGAATAATTGTAGTAGGACAAGTTTTCATATATAGTTCTTGAAACAACGTATATGGTAAAACAACGTTTGCCGAGTCAGCTAGTAGATATATAAAATCAGATTCATATTATAAATCCTATATGATGTCTAAATCCTATGATGAAACAAACCTTGGTATCCTCACTGTTGGTTATGGGTGGGAAACTAATGACCTTCCCGCTGGCGTCTTCCACACATGGGTACTTTGGCTTGCCCTCCAATAAATACAGGTATCTGTAAATATTATATATAAAAGATTTAAAATACAAGTACAAAAGTAGGCTTATTCCATCGAGGCATCGCTTATAGTCAAATTTTGAGAAGTTGAAAGAAAACTATAATATGTTTTTCTTTTTTGATGGGTGAAAATGGTATGGTAATCCCGCCTGCGCTAATGGGATACGCTGGCGGAGCACCAGTGAAGGGTGATAGATGAGAATGAAAGCAGGCCAGTTAGCCCATCATGATGAATTCATCAGGAATTAACCATGCTAGTTTCCAGGGGGAACCGCGAGGAGGTCGACCTGGTTGGGTTTATTGCTAGCAATGGGATTCTCAGTCTCCATTACTAACAATCCCTGTCCCCCCAACTATAGTATGTTTAATTATATGCAATTTAAAAAAATTTTTAAACGTAAAAGAAGTAGTGAATGTGAATGTGAAAAAAAACTCTATTTTCCGCGCTTAGCCTCTCATTTGGGCCGTTGTGCGTATGAGTCGTGGCTAGTACAGCCAACCCAGCTCCGCCCAGAAGCGCAGAAGCTTCCGGGGATCTTCACAGGCCTCACGGCCTCGACGAACGACCTCACCGTTCCGAGGATTTCTAAACGTTGATGGGCCACAGCCTCACATTCACAGGATTACGTGAGCAGCCGTTTCTTCGGCGTCGAAACAGCCTCGACATAGAGGGCTGTCTGTGGCTCCTATTGTGTATAAATGTTTGTTTAATGGACAATGGCCCGTTATTGTCCCTATCATTATTTTGAGGTTTTAAAATAAGTAGTATTGAATTTCTTGCAATAAGAATTACAAGTGTGTTAAGTAATGAATTTAAAGTGTCTTTGAAAATTTTTTGAAGTTTTTTCTAATCACGTCTTTTGTCTTCATTAAATGGAAGAGACAATATAAAGGCTGCGTTTAGTGGCGCGTTATGTCCAATAGTGGACTGATTAAGATGAGCCTATTTTGACATTTTCTATAATATTGATATTATGACCATCACATTTTATAATAACAGTACATACTTATGTATGCCGGAGAAGACGTTTCTTTTCTTCTCCTTCCGGAGAGCCTCAGCTTCAGCTGTGAGCTGGTGGAAGAGCTGTTCTCCAGTACAGGGCCGCACTCGCGAGAGTGGAGTCAGAGTCAGCTGGGATGGTGCTTTCGCTGTGTATACAAGATCACCTGAAAAATTTACAGAAAAATAAATTTAAGAGACACTAAAAAAAAGACTTCCCTTTATGAAAATAGACTACTAATATATTATGTATTATTTATTTATGTATCAATATTTTAAGTATGTGAGGTATTTTATAAAATTAGGGTATGATGAGGCTGACATATCCTTATAGGATAAAAGCCTCTAAATAAAAAAGATAAAAAAAAAGTTTGAACTATAGTAAATATTGTCTATTGATATGTAATTTTTAAATATCAAAGTAATTTTTAGTGATGGAAAATAATGTTAACAAACCAAACGAATGCAAATGAAATAAATACTCTGCTAAGGTTTTCTTTAAATTATAGAGTTCTTTGATTAATTTTTATTATTTAATTATTATTGTATTAAGGTTTTTTTATATACAACTTAGAATGGCAAACAAGCTGACGGCCCACCTGATGGAAAGTGGTAACCGTCGCCTATAGACATGAGCAGTACCATGGACATAACAGAGTATACTGTTTCGCCCATGATACCCCCTATGCGCTGTCATTCCTGAGGACTCAGGTGTTATTCCTCTGTACCCAGTAAATTCACGCCATATCCCACCCTTCAAACCGAAACACAGCCATGCAAACACAACTGCTTCACAAATGGGACAGAGGTACCCAAGCAACGACTTTAGTACAAAGTCTCCCTCTGGTAATAAATGATAGAATTAAAACAAAGAGTTAAACAATAAAGAATTGTTCCCTTCAAAGTATAATAATATTAATTGAGTGGGGGGAAAGGTATTGTTAGTAGTGGAGATTAAAAATCCCATTGCTAGCAATATATCCAGCCAGGTCGACCTCCTCGTGGTTCCCCCTGGAAACTATCATGGTTAATTCCTGATGAATTCATCATGATGGGCTGACTGGCCTGTTTTCATTCTCATCTGTCACCCTTCACTGGTGCTCCGCCAGCGTATCCCGTTAGCGCAGGCGGGATTACCATTACATTTCATCCACAAAAAAAATAACTGAGTATCATCCTGGGCCGTATGCTTGTTTGCCAACTCAGTGGTATAAAAAAAAAATTCAATAAAAAAGAACTCACCCGGTGCAATCTTATTCAAATCATGTGTCGCAATGGTGGCCACATTCCTCTTGTCGCAAACAGTGTCGTGCAACTTCGTCTGAAGTTGTATGAACTTCTTGAACAAAGCCTCGGTGAAGTTCAAATGTGTGATGATACAGCACAGTATGTATGGACGGACGGGCCCCACTTCTGAATCAATGATTTTCACTTGCAATATATCATCTTCTACATGTAAGATCTTCATTGAATGGCACAGATCGCAAACATTGTCTTCTGTTGTTTGTTCTTCTTGTTTCTTTCCTTTCTTGCCCTTGCCCTTCCCAGCGGTGGACTGGGTTTGATCCACTTTTGGGCAGTGCTCTCGTATGTAGTCGAGGACTTGCTTGGTGCGGCACTGGTCAACTAGTTTCATGAGGCGTTTATCAGACAATTTGTTGCCTTTCAAGTTTAGTTCTGAAAATATTTAATTGAAGTTTTAAAATATAATGTAACTAGTACAATAATTAATTTCCCATTTTTGGACAAGTTTCTCTTCTTATAAGAGGATACGCAATCTATTATTAATTTTTTAATACGTGAAAATGGACAAGTAGATTGCACTATTGTGTAGGCGAGAATAAAAGCAGATTAGCCCATCATGACAAATTCAATAACAATTAACTACAATGGTTTTCAGAGGAACCACATGGAAGTCAATGATGGTGAAGGTGATGGTGATGGTGATGGTGAGGTGATGAGTGGACTGTAATCTCTTACTGGGAATTGAAATAATTACAGGGTGTTAAAGCATTAACAATATGCCATAAATATTCATCACTGCTGCGTATAATGAAGCATTTTCAGTGGTAAAGCCAATGTACGACTGCTAAGTTATTAATAGACGATCACACACAACATCAACCAGTCCCAAGAGCCGCTCATCACGACATCGCGAGAACGCCAATCATAACGCAGGAGAAATTTATATGACCTTTCAGGTTTCAAATTGTAACTTACTTACAAAACAACCTTCAGCGCATTACTTCAAATTTATATTCAATACAACACTTCAAAAGTATTTATTCATCATCATCATCACATCATCCGTTCATCATCATAACGCAAACGCACATCATTAACACAGGGTATATAACTATTATTATTATTGTTTCGAAATTCATATTTCCCCTCTTAAGGAGAGGAGATGGCAAAATAAAACCATTATATGGGGATGGGCAGCGGCACCTCTTTTAAACATCTCTAAAGTCTGACTATGGTTGCCAATCCATCTGCCAAGTGTAGCAACTATTGGCAAAACCTTCCAAGGGGAAGACCTATGTTCAGCAGTGGACAGTTAAAGGCAGATGATGAGATTGGTATTGTACTTTGTTCTCTTAATCATATCTTTATGATAAAGTGTTATGGTATGTGATGGTACTGTAATCGTACTTTGTCGCATGCAAATATAATAATAATGTACATAAGTCTCTGGGGGAAAGGAATTGTTAGTAATGGCGACTGAGAATCCCATTGCTAGCAATATACACAACCAGGTCGACCTCCTCGCAGTTCCCCCTGGAAACTATCATGATTAATTCCTGATGAATTCATCATGACGGGCTAACTGGCCTGTTTTCATTCTCATCTATCACCCTTCACTGGTGCTCCACCAGTATATCCCGTTAGCGCAGGCGGGGTTACCATATCATTTTCACCCATCAAAAAAAAAAAAACATAAGTCTCTCTTGATTGATGAATGTGGAAGAAGCGAAAGAGGTTTGTTTGAATCGAAGCATTTGGCGTTCCATTGTTTCTGCCTACCCGAATGGGAGACAGGCGTGATAGATATGTATGTAAGTCTCTCTCTTGGGGAGGGTCTTATATCAATAATTCTGTATCAGTGTTTCACTAGAACTACCCTCACTTTTATAACTTTTTATTATTATTTTTTTCTATTATTATGTAGGGTACTAATATATAGTCTGTTATCACTTGCAATACCCAGGTATTCACAATATAAAAGTCATGATTAATTTGTGCTGCTCCTCATTTGTTCTATAATAGAATGTTTTGTCATTAGTCGCCATATTTGGCAACCGCAATTAAGCTTTGATTATGTTTAAAAGAGACAGTGCTATCTTTCTTTTGACTATTAAGTTACCTTAGCCACCTCTTAAGACACCCACATTAAAATAAGGGGTGAGGTCCATCCTATGCTGAGACCACATAGCAATTGATTACTATTGGACCTTGAGAAAAAGACAAAAAGAAGATGGCAACTGTACCATAGACATGGGCAACACAGAATATATGGGGGGAAAGGGATTGTTAGTAATGGGATCTAGAAGTTCCATTGTTAGCAACATACCCTATCAGGTCGACCTCCACGCGGTTCACCCTGGAAACCATAGTGGTTAATTCTCACAGAATTCTTCATGATTGGCTAACTGACCTGCTTTCACCTTCACCTCTCACTGGTGTCCCGCCAGCATATACTGATAGAGCAGGTGGGGTTACTATTCCATTTTCACCCATTAAAAAAAACATGAAATATACTGTCATCCCACATGCTTCTTCATTTTCAATATTTTGTAATTTATTATTTTATTAGACACATAAAAACTTATAAAACAATAATCATAAAGTATAATACAAACTAAATATACAACTTTTTCTATATATTGCATATTTCTTTAGGTCCTACAGGTTTCCTTATTTGATACAATAATATAAATTGGAAGTAATTCTAAATAGGTTATTTTATTTTAATTTTTGTCGAGGTTTCAATACACCTGGGTGACTATGCCAGTCTCATAGGGAATGTTTGAAAGTTAGGTTTATCAATTTGTTAGAGACACCTTTACCCACAGATATAGGTGTCTGGCATTGCGACTGCTTTAAAGACATATAGAAACTAAAATATATAAAAATGTTTTTTAAACAATGATTAGAAGGTATAATACAAGCTTTTCTGTATAGGACATATTTAACTACAGGTTCTCATATTTTATACAATAATATCAATTGAAGTTATTTCTGAATAGTTATGTTGAATGTTCATCATGTAAACTTAATACTAACTACTACCACATTATAATTTAATGGGAGTATACAGTTATGGAATTTCATTATCAAGTTACTTAAAGAAATAATACTGACCTTTTAATTTGGACATAGTTGCTACCTCGCCAGGAATCGTCTTCAACCGATTGTCTCCAATATCAAAATTCTTCAACGATGGCAAATTACGAGCCACAAAACTCGGTAGATCCTCAATAGCATTCCCTTTCAAATTCAGATCGGCTAAATGTGGCAAATTAGCGTTTTCCACGTCCGGGAAAGCGCTCAGCTTATTGTTGGAAACATCAACACTTATCAAGTTTGGTAAATCGCCTATTTTCGGGATGTTCTCTATAGCGTTGAAACTGAAATTTATACTAGTCAGTTCCTTCATATTGTTCAAGCTGTCGGGTACACTTTTTATCTGATTTCTGGACAAATCTAACACTTTTAATTTCGTCAGTGAGGTTATGTTTTCATTGAATACCTCTAGTTTGTTGCCGAACAATAAAAGCGATTGCAAATTAACTAATCGTTTTATGTCATCTGGTATACTTATAAGACACGTATCGCTAATATTTAAGAGATTCAAATTGGATAATTGAAAGACGGTCTTGTCTAAACCCCCTTCGGAAATGCGTTTCGAAATCGCAGCTCCCGCCAATTTGATTTCGTGGCGGTTTTCAGCCTTGGCTGTTGAAACTTCTGGCCATACACTCATTTTGATCACTTGTTTTTATAAAATGTATAACAGCAACAACTTTTAACATTGATTTGATATTTTTTTTTTCTATTACACACGGTAGACGACAGTTATAAAAAAAGAAACAAAATGAATGAAATGAAATTAAATGAAATGTCATTATGTCAATAGCTGTCAGTCACAATGTCAACCGTAGTCAAGCGTCATTCAGTCAGTCGTGTTCAGTATTGCCAATTCATACTATTTAAAAATAGGGCCAAATTTCTATAAATAAACTTAAATATTATTGTCTTTAATCTAGTAGAGGATATATTGGGTTAAAAATATTGAAGTCGTGATAAACTGATTTGGCTTATAGTCAATTATTATTCCTTACTCTAAATTACTAGTACAGGAGGCATTTACTGTTCCATTTTCATCTATTTAATAACTAAAGATTGTGTCCCACAAAAAATAAATTGTGATAAAACCAGTTATTTTGATCTAAAAACTAAACTACTAAACCAATTGTGATAAAATTTCCATGGGACCAATTTGTAAGTATTTCCTTTCAAAAAAAAAAAATAATTTTCCAAATCGGTTTACAAATGACGGAGTTATGAGGTAACAAACATAAAAAATATACAACCAAATTGGAAATCTTCTATTTGAAGTCGGTTGAAAAAATAATTCCCTTCCGCTTTGTAAAATTACATTAGGTACATATCTAAAAGTGTAATTATATACTCTTTGGGTATCGAATAATTATTAAACGGTGACACATGTACCTAGCTATACCTATTTTATGAATTATAAGATTACTTGTATTAAGAGATATATCATTTCCTGCCATAGATAATCGTTTAGTTATCTATACCTATAATAAATCTGTAGAGAGGTCAATTCTGTATATGAAATATATTTCCAAAATAACTATCAGGGGGTGATTAGGGATCGATACTGATGCCAAAAATGCAATCAGTAAAATTTTTGTCTGTCTGTCTCTATGTTCGTTATAGAAACAAAAACTACTCGACGAATTTTAACGAAACTTGGTACAATTATTCTTCATACTCCTGGCGAGGTTATAGTATACTTTACATCACGCTACGATCAACAGGAGCAGAGCAGTGAAAGGAAATGTTGGGAAAACGGGAGAAGTTACTCCATTTCTAAGCTTCCGTCGCGTGTGCAGTCTTAATGACCACTTTTTTAAATGTAAAACTGTCTACCCGTGCGAAGCCGGGACGGGCCGCTAGTATTTCAAATATAATCTTTTTTATAAATTAATATTTTTTTAGTATATTACAATCTTTATTATATAGATAGAGTATCGAGTCTCAAAAACGGATCAACTTTTTGTCAATTAATTGTCAAATCAGCTGACTCGTTTTTTATCAGTGTTCTATATACTTACGCACATAATGTATCTTGATATATTTATATTTAATTATTTAATAAATTAAATGAGTGTTTACGCATTAAAAAGAAAGATGCAATAATTATAAGACAAAATAAATATAGAAGTTATAAAGGAATCACTCATAACTATTTATCACGCAAAATTGTATGAAAAAGTTGACACGCTTTTCTCAAAGCATTTCTATGGAGATACTCTATAATTTAAGATTACAATATTTAACTATACGGCTCAATCTGGTTAGTTCCACACTGGAACTAACTTTAAGAGCTCATTTTGATGAAAACAGTAACTGTATTTGCTATTTTTCTAGCATAAACCAATAGCACAGGCGGGGTTACCATTTTATTTTTATCTTTTTTTTTTATACAACTTAGAATGGCAAACAAGCTGACGGCCCACCTGATGGAAAGTGGTAACCGTCGCCTATAGCCATGAGCAGTACCATGAACATAACAGAGTATACTGTTTCGCCCACGATACCCTCCGTGCGTTGCCATTGCTGAGGACTCAGGTGTTATTCCTCTGTACCCAGTAAATTCACACTATCTCTCACTACCGTATTCTGTCAGACACGAGATTCCTTATTTCATATCTATTGCGTGAGAGAATTATTAATTGATAAATTTATCATAATTATACTAATCATAGTATTAGTGTATTAGTATCAGCGGCTGACGTAATTGGAAATATCCAAAAATAATAATAGAGCGTATAATATCTACCTAATTTTAATAGATATCTCGAAATTGGATATTAAATAATTTAATATTTACATGATTTTTATATCTTTTTGGTTGCTGCAAAATCATATTTTACCGTCATCTGTTTACCTATATATTTATTAATATGATTTTTATTGCGTGATAGACTCCGAAACGAGGATATCCGCAATAGAACCAAAAGAACCAAAATAGCCAGAAGGATAAGCAAGCTGAAGTGGCAATGGGTGGTCACATAGCTCGAAGAACCGACAACTGATCAGGAAGAAAGGTTCTTGAACGGTGACCGCGTACGGGTAAACGCAGTGTATGACGATCCCCCCACTAGCCCACCCCCCACGAGTGACGGCCTGAAATGCATTGCAGGGAGTCAGTGGATCTCTGCTCAGGACCGTTCTTTATGGCAGTCTATGAGGGAGGCTTATGTCCAACAGTGGACGGATAATGGCTGAAATGATGTTGATGGGTTTCATATTAATAAAAAAAAAGTTAGCATGCAAGTTCATAGCTATATATGTAAGAATATGCATAAAGCTGTATGTACTAAAAAGAGCTATGTATCTATGTTGAAGTAGGTTTTATGTGTTATGTTGAGAGCTGCAGGCAACTCACGCGTTGCTAGGCTTTTAATTTCAATCTAAAGTTAAATAAAATATAATATACTATATATTTCCCGCTTATTTTAATTTCATCAATCTATTTACTTGAAATAAAAAAAAAAAAAATCTTTTACTAATCTCTAAACATAGAGTCTCTTGCCGCGTTTTTCTGTTTTCCCGCTTACTTATTACCATGTAACCATAGAGCAAATATTTTTTTTATTTAAACTGCAATGCACAATTATATAAGTAAATGTACATATATTGGATTTAACATCTAATGGCGTTCTCTAGCAGTCAACCACGAGATAAACACAAAATTGAGTAGACGGTACATTTACTACGTATTATATAAGTATTGTTGCTAATATACATTCATATATAAAGGCAGACGGTTCTTTTTTTTTAATGGTTGAAAATGGAACGGTATCATTCCATTTCAGGCGGTGCACCAGTGATGTAATAGATTGATTAATTCAACATGATGAATTCCAGACGGTTTCCAGAGGAAACAGCGCGGAGGTCGACCTGATAGAGATATTAATAGCAGTAGGTCTGTTAGACCTTATAACTAACAATTTCTTTTCCCCGTGCAAGCGGGGTTACTTTTCCATTGTGATCCGTTAAAAAAAAACTGTATGTTTGAAGGGAACAGTAGAAAGTCTAATGCATACGAAATCGCTGAAATCTCATTACATACATACATACATATCTGTTACGCCTGTCTCCCATTAGGGTAGGCAGAAACAATGGAACGCCAAATGCTTCGATTCAAACAAACCTCTTTCGCTTCCTCCACATTCACCAATCTTTTCACACACGCTCGCCGGTTACGGGTACTTTTAATTTGTCCCTTCTTCAGCACGTCGCCTATTTGGTCAACATACGTCCGTCCAGGGCGGCCCCTACCGACATCTCCATTCATTCGTGCTCGATAAATCTCTTTCGTAATTCTTCTTTCATCCATCCTCTCCAAATGACCGCACCAACGCAACATTCCTTTTTCGATTTTTGTCACTACATCGTCTTTCAGTCCATGTCATTACATAATTAACATAAAATATTTAATCAATTAATCTACAAGTTTATTTTTATCGCATAATTATTTGTATTAATGTATGGTTTTAAAAAATTAGTCTGCACTGTGGCCGCAATGGCGACGTGGGCATTTTTTTTAATATTTGCCGTTCTAGAATCGTCGGTAAGTTGTTTTTTTTTTCAAATGATTTAAAAAAATTATGTTCTAAATTCGTTTGTATTTTTTTTTTACGTTTGCATATTTGTATCTCACAGCGTCTTATCGGTTTAACCAATTATTATAAAATATGATATAATAATATATATGTGCTGTATGAAATGGTCATATCCTGGTCGCACGGACGAAGTCGCGGGTAAAGCTAGTTAGTACATAAAGTATCCTCTGTTAAGTTAGGATATTACGTAACCATGTACTTAATTTCGTTCCAATTCATTCAAATGCATGTTTATGCAATTAGTTTAGAATGTTTTTGTAACAAACATTTGAACATCTGTATTGTCACATTTATATATTATAAATGTATGATATATTTTAGCAGAGGGAGACTTTGTACAAAAGTCGATTGCTTGGGTACCTCTGTCCCATTCGTGTTTCTACCGTGAAGCAGTTGTGTTTGCGTGGCTGTGTTTCTATTTTTACTATATGTTGTATTTCGGTTTGAATGGTGGGATATGGCAGTGAATTTACAGGGTGCAGAGGAATAACACCCGAGTCCTCAGGAATGGCAACGCATGGGGTATTATCATGGGCGAAACAGTATTCCATGGTATTGCTCGTGTCTATAGGCGACGGTTACAACTTTCCATCATGTGAGCCGTAAGTTTGTTTGCCATTCTAAGTTGCATAAAAAAAATATGTTATTGTAAAATGTAAATCCTTGTTAATTATTGTACATTGTCGATTAGGATCTGTCTCGTAAATACATAATAAAAAACAAATAAATAAATAAATAAACAAATAAATAAATAAATATTTGTATTGTTTTTAGGCATTAGCCGACCCGACACTGACGTATCCTGAAATAGCGAGAGGTGAGTAATTACTGGTAAATCACCCTTCGTGTACGAATTAAAAGATAATGGATTATTCGACTAGACTTATCTGCGAGTAAGTTATTTGGGTTTTATCCGTTATCTTGGTTGATAATCTTAATTATGTATGATGAAACATTATGTTTCGATTGTCTAACGCTCGCTTATGACTTGTTATTAACCTATGCCAGTGAGATATAATAAAATAAAAGAGAAAATAATACTATACTCCCGAGCTATTAATCAATTGAACGATGATCTACACCTGAACGATCGATTTTGGAATCTCCTTTCCAGAGGGAGACTTTGTAGATAAAAAGTCGATTGAAAATGGTACCTCTGTCCTATTCGTGTTTCAACCGTGAGCAGCTGTGTTTGCATGGCTGTGTTTCGGTTTGAAGATTGGGATATGGCGTGAATTTACAGGGTACGAGAGAAATAACATTTGAGTCCTTAGGAATGGCAACGGTATCATGGGCGAAACAGTATACTTTGTTATGTCATTGGTACTGCTCATGTCTATAGGCGACGGTTACCATTTTCCATCAGGTGGGCCGTCAGCTTGTTTGCCATTCTAAGTTGTATAAAAAAAAAAAACAAAATAACCTTTATACTGCGTAATCTTTACAGACTTAAACATTTTCTTCCTATTAGCACTAAAGGGTAAAGAGGTTTCTTCAGGGTCGGCAACGCGCGCGTAATACCCCTGGTATTGCAGGTGTTCATAGGCTACGGTAACCACTTACCATCAGGTGGGCCGTATGCTTGTTTGCCACCTCAGTGGTATAGAGAAAAAAAAATCTTGCTCTAACTCTCCCCATGCTTGATTACGGTGATGATCGCTGCACAGACATGAATGAAGACCTTTCAAGGCGCTACATTCATTAAAAGCTTATTTTTTAAACGTTATTCCCAGATTAGGGCAAAAATAAAAAATCTAAAAACAATATATATTAAAATTCGATCCTTAAACTACAATCTGTGTTACAAATTAATTTATTGGAATTATAAGTTACGTAAATTTAAAAAAGAAAAAGTATCGATCGATCACTTTCTAAAAATCGATATTCCGTCAAAACCGATAGACAGATTTTCAAAGTTCATACATGAAATTATAGCTGAAACATTTTTCTGTATCTTGAATCTATCTCATGAAATTATAGCTGAAACATTTTTCTGTATCTTGAATCTATCTCATGAAATTATAGCTGAAACATTTTTCTGTAATCTGTGTGTTTCATTTTAAATTTGGTCAAATATTTGATGCGTAAATATAAGTTTATATAAATTACGTATCAAATTCAAATTCAAATTCAAATTCAAAAATCATTTATTCATGTAAGGACATGCAATGAAGCTTATGAACGTCAAATTTTTACATTATAATTTTATATTTACCCTACCGTCCAGTTCGGTATATAGATCCAATTTAAAGAACTGGCAAGAAACTCAATTGTAAATTGTTTTTTTTTAAAGCCAGTTTATTTACAATGTATATTTATATAGGTGTCTATGTCTAACATTAAATGAAAATTCAGTGCATGAACAACTATTGCCATGCACACTCGTCATTCAAGTAATCGTTTAGTGAGTAATAGGCTTTGCTCAGTAAATATGATTTAACAGATGTTTTGAATTTATTTAAGGGTAATTCCAACATATCCTTTGGTATCTTATTGTAAATTTTTATACCTATTCCCATAAAAGACCTATTAACTTTTTCTAAACGATACTTGGGGACAGCAAGTTTGTCTTTAAATCTAGTATTAATATTATGAATATTGCTGTTTTTTGGAAATAAGTCAAGATTTTTATGAACATATAGAATATTTGAATATATAAATTGAGAAGCAACGGTGAGAATATTTGCCTCTTTGAATTTCTCTCTTAATGAGTCACGACTCTTCATACAGTAGATCGCTCGAACGGCACGTTTTTGTAATATGAATATATTCTTAATATCTGCCGCTTTTCCCCATAGTAATATTCCATAAGAGAGTAAACTATGAAAATAACTAAAATAGACTAATCTAGCAGTATCAGTATCAGTGTACTGTCTAACTTTACGCACGGCAAAAGCTGCTGAACTTAGTTTCGCTGCAAGGCTTTGAATTTGTGCACCCCATTGTGTTTTATTATGAATGTGATTCCTAGAAAGACAGTAGATTCTATAAATTCGAGAGATTCGTCATTTAATTTAATATTGCAATTAGTATTAAAACTTTTAGATAGAGAGAAATTAACACATTTTGTTTTTTTAGCGTTTAACATAAGATTGTTAGTTGTAAACCAGTGCAGGAGACGCCGCAAAGCACTATTTACATCGTCATAATTATTAGTCATTCTATTAACTTTAAAAATCAATGAAGTATCGTCTGCAAACAATACTATGCCGCATCTATCCTGCATGACATATGGGAGATCATTAATGTAAACTAGGAATAAAAATGGACCGAGAATAGATCCTTGAGGTACACCCATTTGCACAAGTGACCCGTCAGACGTAGCGTTGCTAATCCTCACCTTCTGTATTCTATCAGATAGATAAGATTTTATTAAAGAGAAGCATTGTCTTTGACGCCATAAAAAGCAAGTTTTTTTAGCAAAATGTATTATGATCAACGCAATCAAAAGCCTTAGAAAGGTCATGAAAAACACCTATCACATCCATTTTAGTTTCCCATGCAGCAAATACGTGTCTAAGCAACTCTGCACCTGCGTCTGTAGTTGAACGACCTTTGGAAAAACCGAATTGACTATTGTGGATTAAATTATTTAAATTGAAATAACTGACAAGTTGCATAAGGATTATTTTTTTAAAAATTTTACTGAGTGCTGGGAGTATGGATATAGGTCTATAATTTATTGGGTCACTCCTATCTCCAGATTTAAAAAGCGGTATGATTTTACTAATTTTCATTATGTTAGGAAATTTACCTTCATCTATACATTTATTGAAAATAAAAGCAAGAGAGGGCGCAATAATTTCCATTATACTATCAGTATTTTAACAGATATACCCCATAGATCCTCTGTTTTTTTATTATTAAGTTGTTTGAATATTTTCATTATTTCTACTGATGATGTATGTCTAAAGTTAAATACAGCTGATGACTTGCTAACATTGTCTGTTAGTAAAGTTTCAGCAGCAGACGGGAAGATTTTAGAGCCTGTGTCGTAATTAATGGAATATTAGTAAAATAAGATTCGAATGTATGCGCGACCTCTGTGTCGGAATTTACCAATTTGTTATTAATATTTAAAGCTATTTTGCTATTTTGAAAATTAACTTTTCCAGTTTCGCTATTTATTACTTTCCAAGTGGCTTTTATTTTATCTTTAGATTTAGTTATTATTTTACCTAAATAGAGAGACTTAGCTGTATGACAAACCTTTTTAAATATTTTCGAATAAGATTTTACATGTTCATGAAATAAGGGATCGGATATATAGCTTCGTTTTTCGTAAAGTTCGTAAAGATTAGCCCTAGACTTATAAATACCAAACGTGGCCCAGTCACAAAACTTTGATTTTACACTAGTTGAAAATGTTTTTGTTTTAAATTCACTGCTAGCTTCATGTTCAATTAAATTAAAAATATGTTCACATACAATGTCCGGGTCATATTGAGGTACTATGACACTAGATATTTTATGTTCAATTTTATTTTTAAAACGTGCCAAATTCTTTTGTGTTATTTGTCTGCATGTAATTGTTTGAGTCCCTTTGGATCCCTTAGTTTCAATTATAACTTTTTGTCCGTAATGATCAGATCCAAGACAGTCGAAATTCATTTTCACCTTTACTTCACAATTACAAAAAACATTATCTATACAAGTGGCAGAATTTCCTGCGACCCTAGTGGGTTCTAAAAAAAGATTGTGCAAATTAAATGATTTAAATAAGTTAATCAATCTTAAGCTTCAATTGAGCATTCCGATAATAAATCAACATTAAAATCGCCACATACAAATAATGTTTTATTCCTCCGTGCGACTCGTCTCAATGCTTCCTCCATAGCCAGTTCAAAAGAATCAAAACAAGCCGATGGCGGATCGGAAAGCTGAAGAGGCTCTCTGCGCGGGATGCACGCGACCCGCGACATTCTGCCGCTGACTTTCAGAGGCGAAACTCCTGTCGCAAAATGTTAAAAATTCCGCGCACCGATATTGCTAATCCAAATAACTGGTTTTCCTCAATTGAAGCCGGTTTTTTATGACACAATCTTATTTGAAGTCATTGGGTGGGTCCTTTTGACTAAAAGCGAACTCTTCCATCCTCCTTCCCTTCACCATAAGATATTTATCAACCTTTGCTGTTACAGGTGATTCCCGGATAGTGTCAGGATGGGAGGCAGATCCTGGACAGCTCCCTTTTCAACTGTCGATAAGGAATGTGAACGCTAATGGGGGTGTATCGGCTTGTGGGGGCTCTATCATCCATCGCGAGTGGGGGCTGACCGCTGCGCACTGCACCGCTTCGTTAGTAACTCAGCAATGTGTCAAGTCTATATATAAGTAGATATATAACCCAGGGGTGTGGCGCTAATGGTCCCAGGACCAATTGCCAGATGATGCCTCATTTTTTTATACAACTTAAAATGGCAAACAAGCTGACAGCCCACTTGATGGAAAGTGGAACATAACAGAGTATACTGTTTCGCTCATGATACCTCCCCCCCCCATGCGTTGCCATTCCTGAGGACTCGGGTGTTATTCCTCTGTACCCAATAAATTCACGCCATATCCCACCCTTCAAACCGAAACAGCCATGCAAACACAGCTGCTTTAAAGTTTAAACACGTGTCGCAACATGTGCGTAGACTAAATAACGGTCAGAGATTTGTGACTAATGTAGAAGGTTCTAGAACTAATTGTAATAGTAGTCAATTCTCAAATGTTGGCAGTCGTAAGCATAGTAATGGTGGCGAAAATAACAAAATAAATCTATTTTAAATACACTCAGGTTGTGGAATGAGCTCCCTGCCGAGGTTTTCCCAAGAGACTACAGCATGGGGTTCTTCAAGAGGGGGTAAAGAGGTTTCTTTAGGGTCGGCAACGCACGCGTAATACCTCTGGTATTGCAGGTGTTCATAGGCTACAGTAACCACTTACCATTGGATGGGCCATATGCTTGTTTGCCACCTCAGTGATATAAAAAAAACACTGTCGGGATTTAACACGATGAGAAAGTTTTTACAGGTAAATAGTACCTACATAACTGCTTCTTTATTGTCGACGTCTCGACGTGGTACACTCCACGTCGAAATGTCCATTTATGTACCTGCAAAATATTTAAAATATGTGTAAACAACGCCAAAGTTTAACATTAACTGAAATCTAATAATATACTTAGACCAGGGGGGAAAGGGATTGTTAGTAATGGGGGTCTTTTTTTTAGGGTGATAATGGTATGGTAACCCCGCCTGCGCTATCGGTATACACTGGCGGGGCACCAGTGAGGGATGATAGATGAGGATGAAACAGGTCAATTGACTCATAGTGACGAATTCATAAAGAACTAATCAAAATGGTTTCCAGGGGGAACCGCGTGAAGGTCTACCTATTGCTAGCTATGGGGAAGTTATATTTCCAATACTAACAATCCCTTTCCCCCGTAATGGGGGTCTAATTACACCCTATCAAGTCGACCTCCACGCAGTTCTCCTTGAAAACCATCGTGGTTAATTCTAGTGCAATTCGTCACGATGGGCTAACTGACCTGCTTTCATCGTCACCTATGATCCCACACCGGTTCCCGGGGAGAGGGTTTGTTAGTATTGCGGACTACCAGTTCCATTGCTAGCAATATACTCCGTCAAGTCGACCTGCATGCAGTTCCTTCTGGAAACCGTCGTGTTGAATTCCAGATGTATTTATCACGATGGGCTAACTGACCTGCTCTTTCATTTTCACCTATCATCCTTCACTGGTGCCCCGCCAGCGTAAACCGATAGCGAGGGCGGGTTACCACTCCATTATCACCCATAACAAAAAACTCAAACCATTTCTGTATCTACTGCAGACGTGTAAGTATAGTGGTGCGAGCTGGTGCCGTCAACCTGACGCGGCCGTACTACCTCTTCGAGACCACCGAGTACTATAATCATCCTCTCTACATCGAGTCACTGTCAGTGGTTCAGCCCAACGACATCGGAGTCATCAAGTTTGGCAGGGAACTTGTCTTTAATGGTATACAATCATATCAGCCTTTACCTGCTTTTACCAGAGGGAGACTTTGTACAAAAGTCGATTGCTTGGGTACCACTGTCCCATTCGTGTTTCAACCGTGAAGATTGCCCTAGCGATAAGACCGCCTTTTGTACCTTTATGTGTATATTTCAATCTGTATTTATGTTACTGTATTTCACTTGAATTATTCAATTGTCATTGTATATTTTTGTTTATGGTGCAATAAAGAGTTAAATAAAATAAAATAAAATAAATTTCACGTCTGTCTCCCATTAGTGTTGTTTAATGTAGAAAAACTGTAAGAGTTTGTTGGTTTGCGCAGATTACGTGCAACCGATCCGGCTTCAGAACTCCGCTTCCAGGAACCGGAACTATCATGATATCCGGCTCACCGCCAGTGGATGGGGCCGCACTTGGACCGGAGGTGAGCAGTTTTGCAATGGAAATGACCAAAAATTATTGTAGATAATAAAAGAGAGACTTTGTACAAAAGTCGAGTGCTTGGACACCTCTGTTCCATTCGTGTTTCTACCGTGAAGCAGTTGTGTTTGCATGGCTGTATTTCTGTTTGAAGGATGGAAAATGGTGATTAAATTACAGGGTACATAGGAATAATATCTGAGTCCTCAGGAATGGCAATGCATGGGAGGTATGGGGGTGTAATGGGCGAAACAGTATACTCTGTTATGTCCACGGTACTGCTCATGTCTATAGGCAATAGTTACCCTTTTTAGTCAGATGGGCCGTCAGCTTGTTTGCCATTCTAAGTTGCATAAAAAAATATAAAACACGATTACACATTCTAAATCTTTGTTATCACAATTTAATTACATAAACGGTAAATAACCAGTCTATGCTGTGGTCAGGGTCTTCTCCGGAAAACCTGAACTGGGTGTACTTGAATGGTACGTCGAACGCTATCTGTCGGAATGCCTTCGGAGGCAGCAGCATCATCCAGGATTCCACGATCTGCGCGAGCGCATACAACGTCAGCAGTCAATCCGTTTGTCAGGTAAGAATCCAGTCGTTTGCCTTGTAATTCCGTCATAGAATGGGCCACATTCATTCCTTCTCCGTGTCGTAAGAGGCGATTAAGGGTGCTTTATGATCAAGGGATGGACAGCAGAGTTCTTCATATCACCAAAGCGTAACTGCGGTTGCCAGCGCGCCTGCCAAGCGCGGCATCTACTGGCAAAAACCCCTTATTGGGGAGCCTTATGTCCAGCAGTATACAATTAATACAGTAATTTTTAGATTGAATACTACACTATCAAACGCAGTGTAAGCTGTTTTTTTTTTTATTGGATGAAAATGGAGTGGTAACCCCGCCTGCGCTAATGGGATACGGTGGCGGGGCACCAGTGAAGGGTGATTGATGAGGATGAAAACAGGTCAGTTAGCCCATCATGATGAATTCATCAGGAATATGATATTCATCATATGATATTCATAGGAATATTCACCATGATAGTTTCCAGGGGGAACCGCGAGGAGGTCGACCTGGTTGGATATATTGCTAGCAATGGGATTCTTTGTCTCCATTACTAACAATCCCTTTTCCCCCCAGTGTAAGCTGTTTCGCTCTCAATTAAAATTACAATTATTTATTCCACCAGCATTGTTTAATTTAGCAACCATCAGCGAATCTCCAGCTATCGTACAATAGGAAAACTTAAACGACAGAAACTTAGGACAACTGCAGATTTATTAATAATTTGAATTCTATACTATCTATCCTATTTAAGAGCTGCGCTCTTGTCGGTGGAGCTCTTGCCACTCACTACGATTGTCAGCGAGTCTCTTCACCTCTTGATACGACACGACACCAACTCCTTCTTTGATCTGCCTGATGTAACTATGCCTTGGTCTCCCCCTCCCCCTCCTTCCTTCTATCTTACCTTCTATTATAATGTTCATAAGTTCGTCGTGTCGTATCAAGTGTCCCAACATTTTTCCCCTTCTGTCCCTATACTACACTAATTCTATTTTTTTAACGCGCCATTATATTTATTCTTTAATTTCTAATAAAAGTTTTTTTAATGGGTGATAATGGAATGGTAACCCCACCCGCGCTATCGTTATACACCGGCGGGGCACCAGTGAGAGATGATAAGTGAGGATGAAGCAGGTCAGTTAGCCCATAGTGACGAATTCAACAAGAATTGTTCACGACGGTTTCCAGGGGGAAGCACGTGGTGGTCGACCTAATAGGGCATATTGCTAGCAATGATGCTGTCAAACTCCATTGCTAACAATCCCTTTCCCCCCTCTACCTAAAGGTTGTCTGGAAGAGATTGCTTAGCAATAAGACCGCCTTTTGTACTACACTATACTTATCGAAAATTGTTCGACAAATCCTGTAATGTTGGTGCTAATAAAGTGTTAAATAAATAAATAATTAAATAACTTTTCCAGCGACTTTACGTGTTCGTGATATGTTCATTAACCGGTAAAAGGATGGGGTGGGTCATTCTATGTCGAATTGAGAAACTGCTTCTTTTTTAAGTCGATTGAAAACAAAATACTGACAAGGTGACTTGTGTTTTGCCTAACAGCTAGTGTTCTTTTTTTTTAATGGATGATAATGGAATGCTAACCCCGCCTGTGTTAACGGTATACGCTGGCGGGGCTCCAATGAGGAATGATAGGTGAGAATGGAAAAGCAGGTCAGTTAGCCCATCGCAATGAACACATCTAGAATTCAGCACGATGATTTCCAGGGGGAACCTCGTGGAGGTCGACTTCTTCTTTTCATTTAAGAGTTTCCTCTTGTCGGTGCAAATAATTCATGCATCTTCTTCCAATCAGCTCTATCCCAGGCCATATCCTTGACGTCCCTATACGACATGACACCTAGTGTTTCTTTTATCTGTCCCATGTAGTTATTCCTCGGACCTGATAAGGTATATTGCTAGCAATGGAACTGATAGTCCGCATTACTAACAATCCCTTCCCCCCCTAACAGCTAGTGCTGTGACAATGAGTCAGCCCATACACAATATTTGGTATAGATTTTAATGACCAATTAATAATCATCGTTTAGGGAGACAGTGGTGGTCCGCTGACGGTGATTGACGATGACGGTGTGCTGAGCGAGGTAGGGGTCGCGTCCTTTGTGTCTAGCTCCGGTTGCCACACAGATTTTCCGGCTGGTAAGATCTGGACTGAATCTTTTTAATTTTTTGTGCATTAAAAAGGCCCATCGAAGCATTTGACGTTCCATTGTTTTTGCCTACCCTAATGGGAGACAGGCGTGACAGATATGAGAGGGAGACTTTGTACAAAAGTCGATTGCTTGGGTACCTCTGTGTCATTCGTGTTTCGACCGTGAAGCAGTTGTGTTTGCATGGCTGTGTTTCGGTTTGAAGAGTGGGATATGGCGTGAATTTACTGGGTACAGAGGAATAACACCCGAGTCCTCAGGAATGGCAACGCATGAGGGGTATCATGGGCGAAACAGTATACTCTGTTATGTCCATGGTACTGCTCGTGTCTATAGGCGACGGTTACCACTTTACATCAGGTGGGCCGTCAGCTTGTTTGCCATTTTATTGATGTAAAATTTATGTAAAATGTAAAAATTTATGTATGTAAAAAGGCCCAGAAATTATAAGACAAAATAAATATAGAACTTATTAAGGAGTCACTCATGACTATTTATCGCGCAAATTTGTATGAAAAAGTTTAACTCTTTTCTCTGAATATTTGTATGAAGATACTCTATGTATATATCTATATTTAAAAAAAAAATGTTCATGCTCACTTTTTCACTTTATCCGAGCAGTAAGTACTTTATACTATTCTCAATTTCGTGTATAATATAGTATATGTCATATATGTGTAAGTATATTTGTTATTCATATATATTTATTCGTTTATATATGTAATTTTAGTATGTATGTATATCAATAATTAGTAGTGCCGCATTCGAGTATTCTGACACTTCCCTATGGTTGGCTGGGAGAGAATGCTTTTAGCATTATGTCCGCCATGTACACATATATGTACTAATGAATAAATAAATAAATATGTACTAAATAATCTAAGCAGTCATCCATCATATCGTTGGCAGGTTTCGTCCGTCCAGGTCACTACCACGAGTGGTACTACGAGGTGACCGGTATCAACTTCGATTGGGAGTACGACGAATCGACGTCCACTCTCGCACCTGTCACTGAGGAGTCGAGCGAACACGGAGGGGGCGGAGGTGGCGGAGGTGGCGGTGGCTGCTGCTGTTGTCGGCCATGAATTGATTAATCGATCATAAATAAATGTCATTGAGCAAATCAACGCCATCTAGTGACAACGAAGCAAAGCTTGTATACAACAATATAAACTTGTAAAATAGATACTAGACCACTTAAACATAGTAAGAATCATATAAATTAATCACAGTTTTAAGAGTAATCCAACTCGTGTATTAACAGTTCCACAACTTTGCAATTAAAATACATTTGTATTAAAGCGACTTACCAAATTATACGTCTTTACTGGTCAATGTTCAATCAACAACTGTCAACTGTTGGTCGTTACTTCTAGTTTTTGTGTCGCATAAAAACTATTTTGGCGAACTTAACTCTAAAAGTGTTCTGTTCCAAATAATTATTCCGCAATCGAAATGACAAATCACCATTAGGTAGTTAAATCAAATCAGCAACTGTGACACTTGACAACAGTTATGTTATGATACATATTATAAAATATTGGTATACTAAATGTAAAGATGCTAACAGTAATATAAATATTTCACATTTATTTAATTATTTATTAAAAACAAGAAATTTACAATGTAAGCACATTGGAGCCCGCATTAGGCGAACCTGTATCGCGGGAGTCCATAAGAGTTTACCAAGACACGATGATAAATTAGTGAGCCAATTTTACACAAAACAACAAATTAGAATGACATCGTTCAATAATATAAAAACATCGATTGGCATAGTGATGGAATCGATTCAATCAGTATTATCGATATGACTATTCGTTTAAATCAGTATAATCGATTAAATTATTTCAGCAGTATTTGCGAACCGATACGACATCATAACCTTAAAGAAAAGAGCATATTCCTTTTTAAAAGGCCGGCAGCACACCTGCAACGCCGTTGGTGTTGTGGGAGATTATGGGCGGCGGTAGTCACTTACCGTCAGGTGAGCCGCGTGCTCGTTTGCCCACTGTGTTGTAAAAAAAAATATATGTATGCAATCGATAGTATTGTTTTATTACATATATTCGTTTATTCGACAATATCTTAGTCAATAATAATCGGTATTTATTCAATATTTGATATTGTATTTTCATCATCATCATTATTATTTATTTATTACGTCCATTGCAAAAAAAATGCTGGACGTAATGGACTTAAAATGATAAAGCATTCTCTCAGTCAATTTTTGGCAAAACAGAAATGTGTACCTATTGCCAGGCATACGGGTACTTTACAGTGTATTTATTTCTTAATATATGTACTACTAACATTATAATTTTATACCAGAATAATGGCAATAAAGAAAAATTTGCAATAAATTTATTATTATTAAAAAAAAAGAAGTTGTAGATCGAGCGGCTCGCCGAGAACACGATGAGGATTACTCGGATATGTTTAAAGTTCCGTTCCCAGGTTATTACCGACTACTTAAAAGTGATTTAGCAAAAATATGGAAGGACCATTGGGATATAACAACTGAAATTAAAGGTAAATAGTATGCGGAGTTACAGAGAGACTTACCAATTAAACCTTGGTATAGCAAATTTAAATACTGCGGCAGGAAGTTTATTACGATCATCAATCGCCTTCGTTTCGGGCATTGCTTAGTTCCAGTTCACCTCAACTCTATATTGCTAGTGACAATAAGTGTAAATACTGTTTTAAAGACAATTAAGACATAAAACATATTATATTTGACTGTCAAAACAACATTCAACAACTGACCTTTGTTTTTTTTTTGATGGGTGAAAATGGTATGGTAACCCCGCCAGCGCTAACGGCATACGCTGGCGGAGCACCAGTGAAGGGTGATAGATGAGAATGAAAACAGGCCAGTCAGCCAATCATGATGAATTCATCAGGAATTAACCATGATAGTTTCCAGGGGAACCGTGAGGAAGTCGACCTGTGGTTGGGTATATTGCTAGCGATGGGATTATTAGTCTCCATTACTAACAATCTCTTTCCCTCCTGTTATCGATATTGTTAATTGTTTTTATATGGTAATTTGTACTGTATTCCCTTTTTTGTAAATATCATTTATATCTGCGACTAAAGGATTTGTATCCATGGTTATGAATAAATTAAAAATAATATAAAAAAAAAATAGTAAATATGGGTCCCACAACGGAACAAACGTATTAAAAAAAAATGTAAATATGGCGTGAAAAATTGAAAACATTTTTGCCGCCCTCGTGTTGCCACACTGAGCAATTTTTTAACCTACACTTACAATCGAAATTAGACTAAAATACTGATAAATTCGTATAAGACATATTTTACGCGACTAATTCTGGTTATTTTTGATTAATTATGTATTTTTATGATTAAAACGATATTGTAATGTCGATAAATTTTTTTATCAAATAATCCTCCACACAGAATAGATATATTTTTTGTAGTTTTAACTTTTAATTAGTGAGTAGTTTGCGTTATGACGATGTGGCGTGTTACTGTGATAATTGCTTTATATGGGACATCGGTAAATAGTTTTTATATAACATACATACACACATATCCAACCATTGTTTTAATTATTGTTTTAATCGACTTTAAATAGACATTTATCAATTCATCAAATATGGACATTAATGCTACTATTTCACTTGTATCTGAGTAGTTTTTGGTTATATATATATATATATATATATATATATATATATATATATATATATATATATATATATATATATATATATATATATATATATATATATATATATATATATATATATATATATATATATATATATATACGTTTCTTAGATACATATTCACGAGTAAAATTTCTTAACGGGGCGTAGGGGCCCCTAGCCGATAGGAAACCCCTAGTCGATAAGAGGTCCCTAGACAGTTGCATACACTGCCTAATGGAAAATTCGGCGCTGGACCTACCGTTTTTAGGAAGTCACGAAAAGATAAAAATGAAGTGAAAGGGGAAATAATTACAGTCCCCAAAGCTTTATCATCATTTCCATAAGGGTGAGTTAACTGGTGGGTTAACTGGTAAGTTGCCAGTAGTGTCACGGTTGACAAGCGGGTTGGCAATCACAATAAGGCTTTTAGAGATGTTTTAAGAGGGACTTTGCTACCAGTCCCTCTCCCATTAAGTTAATCGCCACTTACGACACCTACAGGAAAGGAAGGGGTGGCCTATTCTATGGCGGGACCATACGGCCAATCTTTATGGCATAGCTAGTCTTTAATAATGTTTTTATTTTTTATTTTCTTTATACAACTTAGAATGGCAAACAAGCTGACGTCGCACCTGACGAAAAGTGGTAACTATTGCCTATAGACATGAGTAGTACCGTGGACATAACAGAGTATACTGTTTCGCTCATGATACCCCCAATGCGTTACCATTCCTGAGGACTCAGGTGTTATTCCTCTGTACCCTGTAAATTCACGCCATATCCCACCCTTCAAACCGAAACACAGCCATGCAAACACAACTGCTTCACGGTTGAAACACGAATGAGACAGAGGTAGCCAAGCAATCGACTTTTGTACAAAGTCTCCCTCTGGAAAAATCTATATTTTTTAATAGCAAACTCAACTTGAGTCTGGAGCCAGCTTGCACGCATAAGACGAGTTGTGAACATGGATGAACTAAAAGATATAACTAAAAGATTGGCTTTTACTAACCAATTTTTTCCCCGTAGACCTTATAAGAGATCTAGACAGATATTCAAATTAAGTTAAGCAAGATTTTATATTTTTCTTTTAGGTATTTGCCGATCCCTTCCTCACTTTTCCTGAAATTGCGAGAGGTCAGTAACTAGTAATTCAAGCGTTCAATATGTTTTTTTTTAATGGATGATAATGGAATGGTAACCCCGCCTGCTCTATCAGTATACACTGGCGGGGCACCAGTGAGGGATGAATGGTGAGGATGAAAAAGTAGGTCAGTGGCGTGAATTTACTGGGTACAGAGGAATAACACCTGAGTCCTCAGGAATGGCAACGCATGGGGGGTATCATGGGCGAAACAGTATATTCTGTTATGTCCATGGTACTGCTCATGTCTATAGGCGACGGTTACCACTTTCCATCAGGTGGGCCGTCAGCTTGTTTTCCATTCTAAGTTGTATAAAAAAAAAGTTAGTCCATCATGACGAATTCATCGATAAATTAGTCACGATGATTTTCAGGGGGAACCGCGTGGAGGTCGACCTGATAGGGTATATTGTTAGCAATGAGAACTAACCTCTTAATACTAACAATCCCTTCCCCCCTGTGTTTAATATGCTAAGTGCCTTCAGGTTGGTACATATGTACTCGTGATATTTATCTATATCTATACTTATAATAAATCTGTAGAGAGGTCAATGCTGTACATGAAATATATTTCCAAAATAACTATCAGGCGGTGATTAGTGATCGATACTGATGCCAAAAATGCAATCAGTAGAATTTTTGTCTGTCTGTCTGTATGTTCGTTATAGAAACAAAAACTACTCGACGGATTTTAACGAAACTTAGTATAATTATTCTTCATACTCCTGGCCAGGTTATAGTATACTTCTTATCACGCTACGATCAATAGGAGCAGAGCAGTGAAGGGAAATGTTGGAAAACGGGAGAAGTTACTCCATTTTTAAGCTTCCATCGCGTGTGCAGCCTTAGTGGCCACTTTTTAAAATGTAAAAATATCTACCCGTGCGTAGCCGGGACGGGCAGCTAGTCTTACTTAAACCTGTCGACCTCACATACCCCATATTGCTAAAATAAGGTTCCTAGACACCATCACTAACAAACAGCGACAGGAGAAAGGTCCCCATCGCTTGGTGTGATAATGTAGCACGTATTATAATTATTTATCATCACCATCATCATATCAGCCTTTAACTGTCCACTGCTGAACACAAATCATCCCCTTGGGGGGTTTTGCCAGTAGTTGCCACGATGGCCAGCAGTGTTCCGCCTAAAACATCTTCAAAGCCTAACTGCGGTTGCCAATAATCGCAGTTAGGCTTTGGTGATGTTTTAAGAGGGACGCTGCTGCCCATCCCTCGACTATTAAGTTTTTTTTTATCCAATTAAGAATGGCAAACAAGCTGACGGCCCACCTAATGGAAAGTGGTAACCGTCGCCTATAGACATGAGCAGTACCATGGACATAACAGAGTATACTGTTTCGCGCATGATACCCCCCATGCGTTGCCATTCCTGAGGACTCAGGTGTTATTCCTCTGTACCCAGTAAATTCACGCCATATCCCACCCTTCAAACCGAAACACAGCCATGCAAACACAACTGTTTCACGGTTGAAACACGAATGGGATAGAGGTACCCAAACAATCGACTTTTGTACAAAGTCTCCCTCTGGTTCCATTAGTTTCATTAGTCGCCTCTTACGACACTCATGGGAAAAGAAGGGGCGGCCTGGACTGCAGGCTAATTATTATTATTATTTATACGTCGTAATATTACAGGTGCTAGTGACACACGTATAGTGTCAGGATGGGAGGCCGAGCCCGGGCAGCTGCCGTTCCAGCTGTCCGTGCGGATGGTGAACGCCGCCGGCGGAGTGAACTCCTGCGGTGGCTCCATCATCCATAACGAATGGGGCCTCACCGCGGCCCACTGCACGGCCAAGTGAGTTTTCAGGACTCAGGGCTCAATATTGTTCTTCTATGGAACATGTTTTTTATTGATTTTTTTTTAATAGATGAGCTGTCAGCATTTGCAGCAAAATGAGAATGAGAGAGCGTAAAATGATCTCTTATTCTCATTATTATGTCTTGTTTCCATTTTTACTTACGATTTTGCAGCCGAATCACTTTCGTCATCCGCGCCGGTGCCGTGAACCTCACTCGGCCCGTCCACCTCTTTGAAGCCACGCAGTACTACAACCATCCCTCGTACATCGATGCCCTACAGTCAGTGGTGCAGCCCAATGATATTGGCCTCATTAGATTTGGACGAGCTCTCGTGTTTAATGGTATGTAGATTATTGTAACTCTTGAAGCGCTTCTAATTCAATTCTCGTGCATGATATTTGGATAAGTTATTTTAAGTTAGTAAGTATATAATAAGTTAGTGGCATTTATGCCACAAATCAGCTTATTTGCTTTTCGATTTCAAACTTTATGTTAAATTAGCAGTAAAATTAGTAGGTACAGTAACTACTTGCCGCCGGTGATCGGGACGATTGCAAATCGCGAGGCCCAATCACCGGCACACGGCGCTGAGAGGAATTCCGGGGTGTTTTTAGTGGGTAAAAATCCCACAGTACCCATTTGTCGTCCCGCCGGCGGATGGGTCTCTTTCTGAAGATTTTCACCCTAGTTAAAAAAAAAAAAAAAAAAGGTACAGTAACTACTACATTTATTACTGTAAGGGTTCATAATTTACAGGATCGTATACATCGTCAGACGGATCATAAATTTGACGGCATTAAAAATTACCATAAAATGTATTTGCTCGAGTCTTAACAGCTATACTGTGCCAATTTCAAATTTTGTAATATCTCACCACTTGATGTTTTTGCAGATTACGTACAACCGATCAGGCTTCAAAACTCTGCGGCCAGAAACCGTAACTATGCGGGCGTGAGGCTGACTGCCAGCGGTTGGGGACGCACTTGGACTGGGGGTAAACAGATTGGGCTATATTATTCTATATGAGCTTGGGTTTATGGTCTGACAAATCTGTTAACACAGCGAAAAGTACTGAGACGTGGAATGAAAAGGCGACGGGTGCTATCCTGAATGTATTGGATATATAGGTTTCACTTTTGACATTTTGCGTTTGCCCTTTTCTGTGATATAATACTTACTATAAAGATTTTTTTAATTTCATCATCATCATCATCATATCAGACTTTAACTGTCAACTGCTGGCATAAGGCTCTTCTTTGAAGGGTTTTGCCAATAGTTGCCACGCTTGACAGGCTTTTGAATTTCCCTCTCCCTTAATTAATTGTATTATCTCTCCTTTCTCTTTATCCTTCTTTATAATGTGATGACATGTCTATAAAATAAATGCAATATGTGGATCTTTTTTATGCCAATGATTATCATAAATAGTGACGTCCATGATCATTGAGTGCTTGTTCTGAGGATTATAGTGTTATGCCTTCGTATTTTGTAATTTCACTCCAAAACCTCATTATTCAAACCGAAAGACAGCCATGCAAGAGCACCAGAGGGAGTCTTTGTACAAAAGTCGATTGCTTGGGTACCTCGGTCCTATTTATGTTTCAACCGTAAAGCAGTTGTGTTTGCATGGCTGTGTTTCGGTTTGAAGGGTGGGATATGGCGTGAATTTATTGAGTACAGAGGAATAATACCTGAGTCCTCAGGAATGGCAACGCATGGGGGGTATCATGGGCGAAACAGTATACTCTGTTATGTCCATGGTACTGCTCATGTGTATAGGCGACGGTTACCACTTTCCATCAGGTGGGCCGTCTGCTTGTTTGCCATTCTAAGTTGTATAAAAAAAAACAGTTGCTTAGCTGTGCTTGCATTTCTGTATAACTGACAGCAGAAACACGAGTGAAACAAAGATACTCGACTTCTGTACCACTTTTGTATAGTCTTCTTTAGGTCAGAACCTTTGTTTTATTTAACTACGGAACTTTTTATTCTAGCAAGTGCACCTGAGAATTTGAACTGGGTGTACTTAACTGGTACCTCTAACATCGTCTGCTTGGCTGCATTCGGAGGCAGCAGCATTATCCAAGATACTACGATCTGTGCCAGTGCCTACAACGTCAGCAGCCAGTCTACGTGCCAGGTGGCAATGAGTTTTAAATCCTTAAATGTAGTGAATTATAACCCTGGCCCTGTAAACAAGTGGTAAATGGATCAATCAATAGATACGTTCTGTTAGCCTATATATGAATAGGTATTAGTATAAAATTATCTCAAGGATACGTAAGCGATAACGTATCTATTGATGTCGTTAGATTTGTATAAGAATGATTATTTGTTACCTTTCTTATTTGTTGTTATTAAAATATTTCGTCGTTTAAATCCCTCATTTAAATGAGGGAGGCCTTTGCCCAGCAGGCTACGATTGATTGACTGATTTCTACGTTTAGGGCGACAGTGGTGGTCCATTGACAGTAATTGATGAAGATGGTGAGCTGAGCGAAGTTGGAGTCACATCGTTCGTATCAGGAACGGGCTGCCACACCAATTTTCCAGCTGGTAAGTCCTATAAAGTCATAGATTAAGCATAATACGTGCAGTTCAGTGTCAGGGGTGTCTTTTTCTAAAAATCTGTCAGATTTTTTTTTATACCACTGAGGTGGCAAACAAGCATACGGCCCACCTAATGGTAAGTGGTTACCGTCGCCTATGAACACCTGCAATACCAGAGGTATTACGCGTGCGTTGCCGACCCTGAGGAAACCTCTTTATCCCCCCTTTTGAAGGGGGGTAAAAAGGCTTATTATTATTATTTTCATTTTAGAATAAGGCTATACGGGTGCGACCCTGTCCTCCCGAGCAGTCCTTTCCGCAACTGCAGTGTCCTTCCCTTTCCTTTTCCACATTAGTCCCTTATTCCTCTTATTTAGCAATTTCCTTTACGCTTTTCCAACATTCCCTTCATTTTTCCTCCATACCGTAGGTGACGGAGAACACCAACAAATGCATTCCCAAAGAGGGTTGACGTCAGGCAGGCGGCTGGTCGTAAAACTATAAGCCAAATCTTTTTGTAATATAAAAAAAAAAATATTACGCCGACCCCAAATAATAATAATACATAATAGTTACAGTCTTAATATAGAGCCAGGGGGGAAGGGATTGTTAGTAATGCGGACTACCAGTCCTATTGCTAGTAATATACCCTATCAGATCGACCTCCACATAGTCCCCCTGGAAACCGTTGTCCTGAATTCCAGGTTTGCTCATCACAATAAGCTAACTGACCTGTCTTTTCATTCTCATCCATCATCCCTCACTGGTGCTGCCCCGCCAGTTTCACTACCTACACTAACATTCCATTATTATTCATTAAAAAAATATGTATAGCCAAGTGGATCTTGTCAAATTTTAAATGTTAAAAGAAATATAGAGTAGAAAATGCAGTCATACAATCTGATAATACAGGTATTTTTGATGCCACACTGTTTTAAGCTGACAGTACTGTAGTATGCCTTTTAACAGTAGGCAAATGTCCCAACTTTTACACAATTTATCAATAATAAATGCTACCCAATCATAACAATTAAGATATAAATTTCTTTTTGGCCGCAACAGAATATCAGTTCTTTGCTATTTTGAGATCGAAGCAATAAACTGAGTTGTAGCCATTTTGTATTGCTATGGCACACTCACAAACGAAAATTGTATTTAGCTTTATGTATTTTTTTTATCATTTATGTTATCTCGCTTTTTTTGTATATGTATATTAAAATTTTTGTGCTGTAAGTAAGTAATGCAAATAAATTATCTATCTATCTATAAATATAATTTTAATTTAGTTATCAGCTATTGATAATATCATATTATTTTAAATATGTAATTTAGTCTACATAATATTTAGGTCACACTAGAACTATTATACCTATCCAAAAATATCAAATTAGGTCTGACACATTTAATATTATACAATTTCATTACTAAATATTATATTAATGGTCATTTATTATTCATATTTGTTATTATTCTTTTTGAAACATATCGTAGGTATTATCTTTTATCTTTTCCTATTAAGTACCTGGATAAAAAGCCTTTGATGATATCCATTCCGCCATTTTCTCTCAACGACGTCACAAAAGAGTTTTTCTAATGCGCTCTTTTGGATAGGCTACGACCATAGTCCATTCTGCCTACATTAATTCAAGCAATACTTGATTTAGTTTCATAGATTGAGAATAGTGACTCCAACTTTGCTTTATTTATTTATTCTTTATTGCACAATAAAACTTTGTACAAGTAGCGAGTTTAATGCCATATGGCATTCTCCACCAGCTAACCATTAGGTAAAAATAGAAAGCATATGAAGGGCAGATGTGGTGAAAAATATGTGAAATAATTATAGCAACATTATAACATATATATATATATATATATATATATATATATATATATATATATATATATATATATAAATATTGTGAGATATACTAATTATCGAGTAACCTGTAATTAGTGCTGAGTTTATTTCTGAGTATATTAAAAATGTCAAAGGATTTCCTCACAATCATCATCATTATCATTAGATATAAGCCATTTACTGTCCACTGCTGAATAGATCTCCCCCATAAAGAGGGTTTATGCCAGTAATTGCCACTTTGGGAGGCGGGTTGACAACAACAGTTAGGCTTTGGTGATGTTCCAAGAAGTGCACTGCTGCCCATCCCTCGACCATTAATTTAAGGGAAGTTCTCGCCTTTTACGACACCCACGGGATAGGAAGGGGTGGCCCATTTTATGCCAGGACTACACGACAACTCTCCCATTATTTCATCAACTATTACATCAACTCACTGACAATACTGACATGAAGCATTTCTTAATTTGTTGCCCTGGTTGAACACACCTTTAAGAACATACTAAAGATTTCAAATTAAACATGTATATAAAACAAAATTCTTGCCAGGTTTCGTCCGTCCAGGCTACTACCACGAGTGGTACTACGAAGTAACTGGTATCAACTTTGACTGGGAGTACGAACAGCCAACTGAATCTGAGGAGTCTGTAGAAGCTACAACACTTGAACCAGATTCAGAGAGCGAGGAATCTGAAGAAAGCTCAATTGAATCAAGCAGTGAAGAGGATTCGAGCGAGGAATATCTTGTATATACATAAATATTGACATAAACGATAACTCAAAAAGTAATACAAAAAGTAATTAAAACTATGGCCGAGGTTACGAAGAAAACTTAATTATTTTTAATTAATTTCATTACAAGACAGTAAACGTAATTTATACAGATTAACTCACTATTTAATTTGTCCAAGTAGTAAATAAGGTTATTTATTTATTTATTATTTATTGCACAATAAAATTAAGACATTAGGCAAAAACAACGTTTGATAGTAGTGGTGGTGAACATGCGTCGCAAAAAAATAGACCAGTTAATCTAACTTGGCATAAAAATAAGTATCATATGGAATAAGATGGGTTATAGGTGAAGTATTAAAAAGAATTTCTTAAAATGAAGAAGTTACCTACTCCTTAATCATTGACCCAAGCTGTTCGAGTCCTTACTTTGATTACTATAACACTAATTAAAGTTATGGCTGAAGTTATGAAGAGAATCTTTCCAGGTATTTGTACAAAAGTCGATTGCTTGGGTACCTCCGTTCCATTCGTGTTTCAACCGTGAATCGATTGTGTTTGCATGGCTGTGTTTCGGTTTGAAGGGTGGGATATGGCGTGAATTTACCGGGTACAGAGATAACACCTGAGTCCTCAGGAATGGCAACGCATGGGGGTATCACGGGCGAAACAGTATACTCTGTTATGTCCATGGTACTGCTCATGTCTATAGGCGATGGTTACCACTTTCCATCAGGTGGGCCGTCAGCTTGTTTGCCATTCTTAATTGGATAAAAAAAAACTTAATAGTCGAGGGATGGGCAGCAGCGTCCCTCTTAAAACATCACCTCCGAGCAGGGATCTAATAATTTGCCTGAAGATGCCTCGTTTAGAGGTGATACATGTGTTGCGAAACGTGCATATTCACGTGCACTTTTTACAGTAAATGACAGTCTTACATTGTAGGCTAATATGGAAGATTGTGAAACTTCTGGTTGTAATAGTGATGGTCAAGTTTTAAGTGTTGGCAGTAGATAAAGCTTTATTTGAGATTTCTGTCCTGGGTACGATAGGGCTGATTTTTTGTTTTTTTATACAACTTAGAATAGCAAACAAGCTGACGGCCCACCTGATGGAAAGTGGTAACCGTCGCCTATATAACAGAGTATACTGTTTCGCCCATGATACCCCCCATGCGTTGCCATTCCTGAGGACTCGGATGTTATTCCTCTGTACCCCGTAAATTCACGCCATATACCAACCTTCAAATCGAAACACAGCTATACAAACACAACTGCTTCACGTTAGAAACCGAGAAGAAGGTAAAAGCCCTTAAAGAAAAAGTATTGGTAATCACACACATACTAATGGTAGCGGAATTAAACAAAATAATTCTAAAAAAAACAACCAATGACATGGACTGCCGCAAGATAACACCTAGTTCATTAAAAAATTTATTATAAAACATTTTGAAGTTTTATTTACGTCATCTAATTAGGAAGTCAACAAGTCAATCGTTAGAGGAGTGGAAGGAGAGAGGGATAGTTAAAATTGGATGCTAGAAGTCGCATTACTAGCAATATACTTTGTCTCCACGCGTATGAAGGAATAAATTGAATCGACCAAGAATCGAATCTGATACCTTATTAACATACTAGCAACCCGACCCGACTTCACACGGGTGCAATGCTGATATTAAATATTAGTACAGAGCGATTTAAAAATTAACCTGAATACTGATTAAAGTACGAACATACAATTTTGAAAAAATGGTCACGCTAAAAAGTACGGTACTATATTATGCATGTATTATAAATATAAAACTTCCTCTTGAATCACTCTATCTATTAAAAAACCGCTTCAAAATCCGTTGCGTAGTTTTAAAGATTTAAGCATACATAGGGACGGATAGACAGTGACAGCGACTTTATTTTATACTATGTTGATGATAAAGCAAGATGCCATAACACCATAGAGATCATAGAAAACATTGAATATAACTGCTATATACAACCTAATAATTCTGCTGTACACATAATAAATCAGGAATGGCAACGCATGAGGGGTTATCATGGGCGAAACAGTATACTCTGTTATGTCCATGGTACTGCTCATGTCTATAGGCGACAGTTACTACTTACCATCCATTTCATTTTCCATAAGCCATTAAGCTTGTTTGCCTGTATAAGTTGTATAAAAAAAAAATTGTACTGTACATAAAATACTCTCAAATAGTAGTCTTTCACGCAGACAACTTTTGTACGTATTCAATAAGAGCTTTATTATCATGTATTTAAAGCGAATAAAATATATTATTATTATAAAAGCAGACTACCAGAGGTCGATTGCTTGGGTACCTCTGTCCCATTCGTGTTTCTACCGTGAAGCAGTTGTATTTACATGGCTGTGTTTCGGTTTGAAGGCGGGATATGGCGTAAATTTACTGGGTACAGAGGAATAACACCTGAGTCCTCAGGAATGGCAACGCATGGGGGGTATCATAGCGAAACAGTATACTCTGTTATGTCCATGGTACTGCTCATGTCTATAGGCGACGGTCACCACTTTCCATCAGGTGGGCCGTCAGCTTGTTTGCCATTCTAAGTTGTATAAAAAAAAAAGACTAAAATATCCATAATCTCGTACAAAGACGTTTTTTACGTGTCTGATATTAGCTATTTGTAATTAATTAATTATCTATTTTAATGATTATTTTTATCATTTAATTTCAATAAATTGATATATTAATCACATAATCCTCTGCAGCGAATCGACGTAATTTGTATTAATTACTAATTAGTCTGTAGTTAAAGTTCTAACGATGTGGCGTGTTGCTGTGGTGATTGCTGTATTTGGGACATCGGTAAATAGTATTTTTAAAGTTTTTTTTTTATACAACATAGAATGGCAATCAAGCTGACGGCCCACCTGATGGAAAGTGGTGACCGTCGCCTATAGACATGAGCAGTACCATGGACATAACAGAGTATACTGTTTCGCCCATGATACCCCCCATGCGTTGTTATTCCTGAGGACTCAACTCAGGTGTTATTCCTCTGTAATAAATAGTATCTATTTGTTACTAGGTTTCTTTTTTTTATGTGAACATTCTGCACCGAAAGAAAAATGGAACAAATATACAGTGGGAAAGTGGAATGATATAGTTACTAAGAAGGAGCTAGATTGACCTATGGGTTTGTGATCAAATAAGTAGATCATACGTATCTGTTGCTTAAGAGAGAAGTCTAGAGTCTCTGGAACTGGATGGTATGCAAGAGGTGGAACTAAAGTTTCACCTTTGAAAGTAGATGAAGCAAGAGAAATCTGAAGAGAAACAGGGACTTTGATAGAAATTATAAAATTTTGATCGAATTATTTTGATTTAAAAATTAAACCACTTGATTGATAAAATGCTTTTAGAAAAAAGTATTGTCTAAATCGGTATAAATAAAATGTCAATTTGATATTATTGTGAAATATTTACTGTAAGGAACAATATGAATTAATTTACAAATAGATTTATTTATTTATATTTATAGTTTAATGCACAGTAAAATTCTATGTACATTTAGCGGACTGAACACCGGACGGTGTTCTCTACCAGTCAGTCATTTATGTAAATTATTATAACTTTAGAACTGACAGAGTTATTAGGTAACAAACAAAAAAAAAAAAACTTTTTTAAAACGGTTAAAAATTTACCTAAAATTTAGCTATATAGCATGATAAAAGGAGTCTTCTTTTTTCAGGTATTTGCCGATTCCTCCCTCACTTTTCCTGAAATTGCGAGAGGTTAGTAACAAGAAATCTATAAATTTCTACCTTTAAAATTTTTGTGCCTTAATACATACATACATACATATCTGTCACGTTTGTCTCCCATTAGGGTAGGCAGAAACAATGGAACGCCAAATGCTTCGATAATACAATAAACTTATTACATATACAAGTATAATTAAATGGCCGCCAGCACACTTGAATCGCCACTGCTGCTGCGGGTGATCATGGGCGGTGGTAGTCACTTACCGTCATGTGAACCGCATGCTTGATTGCCGGCTTATAAAAAAAAATATATATTTTGATATTTAAATATGGCAAGAGTTCCACCGACAAGAGCGCAGCTCTTAAATAGAATAGATAGATAGAAATATGTTAAGTAGGTACAAACAAATCAAGAAAATGTAGTATGAGTACATCTATATATATATATATATATATATATATATATATATATATATATATATATATATATATATATATATATATATATATATATATATATATATATATATATATATATATAATATATATTTATATATATATATATTATAAATTACTTGCATGTAAAGTTTTCGCCACAATTACTTTTGTTTTGGCGTGACTAGTCACATTAACTTATCTAAATCGATTGAAAACTATATTCAAATGATAACAATATCTTTGTCTAATTATCCTTCAATAGGTATATAGTTAGACATGAAAATGTTTATTCTACGATGGGTTTTCCCACACGCTAAAAACTACACATGGCGAATCTACTTGAAAAAGAGAATAGTTCATATTAATAAGAATGTAACTTATCGTCAAGTAAACTATATATATATATATATATATATATATATATATATATATATATATATATGTATATATATATATATATATATATACTTTCTTTTTACACCTACATATACAAATTAATCAATCAATACATATAATAAAATTGTAACTGATCGCTGTCTATACATAGACGATACATAAGAAAAGCTATTATAAGGGGGCTTTATGAACGCAACAGAATTCAAAACAATGAATTTTTGTCTATTTGTCTGTACGTTTGTGCACGATAATCTCAGAAACAGCTTAACCGATTGGAAAGCGGTTTTCACTAATGCGTTTACGTCAATCTAAAGAATCACATATAAAACGCTATAAAATAAACGGTCAATTGAATTGGCTAAAACTTTATGATCAGTTATGATGTATATCATATTTTAACTCATAGGTTATTTTATATACCGAATTCAGGCGCGCCGCGTCACGGGAAACAGCTAGTTTATAATATATGTGTTTATAATTTGTGGCCAGTTTCTTGAAAACCTTATTGCGTACAATTGAAAGTATGTCTATAATTCTGACTTGCTGAAAGATACAAGGTCAGACAGTGGTTTTCTTAGCTATTAACGTTATATCCCGTCAGCTTGACCTCCAATCGACCCCTCTTGGAGACCGTCGTGGCTAATTCCCGGCGAATTATTCACGATTGGCCAACTGACCTGATTTCATTCTCACTTATTACCCGATACATCCATGCAGTGGCGAACTAAGCCCGTTGGGGACTCGGGCGGCAAACCCGAATGAGGCGGGGGGAAAGGGATTGTCAGCAATGGAGTTTGACAGCCGTATTGCTAGCAATATGCCTTATTAGGTCGACTTCCACGTGGTTCCCCCTGGAACATCGTGAACAATTCTTGTTGAATTCGTCACGATGGGCTATCTGACCTACATCATTCTCACCTATCATCCTTCACTGGTGCCCCGCCGGTGTATACTGATAGCGCGGGTGGGGTTACCATTCCATTATCATCCATTAAAAAAAATCCGAAAGAGGCACCCAGTTAAGAAGTTAACATTACAAACTTTTTGTTCAGTGAAATTTAAATTAGACTTAAATAAACATACATAATATATATATATATATATATATATATATATATATATATATATAAGAAAAAATTGCGTGTGGAGGATCCCCTTCCCCAGGATCAAAGTCGCGAGGCGGACTGCTTCTATCGTCCCTCATTAGTCCACTACTGCGTTCATGACCCAAACGATTACATGATAATTTGGGATGCCTTATTCTATTCAGATGCATCCGTTGGATAACTAGTAGAAAAGATTTTTAAATTGTATTTCTAACAAAATTAACTAAACTAGTTTAAAAACAGTAAATTAAAAACATTGACGATTTAAAAGTTACAAGCACTTTTAGCAATAAGTCTATATGAATAATTGATTTTGAATAAGAAAGTTGATTGCTTGGGTACCTCTGTCCCATTCGTGTTTCAACCGTAAAGCAGTTGTGTTTGCATGGCTATGTTTTGGTTTGAAGGGTGGGATATGGTGTTAATTTACTGGGTACGGAGAAATAACACCTGAGTCCTCAGGAATAGCTACGCATGGGGGGTATCATGGGCGAAACAATATACTCTGTTATGTCCATGGTACTGCTCGTGTCTATAGGCGACGGTTACCACTTTCCATCAGGTGGGCCGTCAGCTTGTTTGCCATTCTAAGTTGTATGAAAAAAAAAGCTAGCAAAAGCCACCGATGATGAATTCGAGACGTTGTTCTGACTAAATTTTTAAATTTAGAATTATGTTTCTTTTTTTCAAATACACAGCAGGATTTCAATAAATGTTTATTTTATAAATGATGAAGCATCATTTGTGAGAAGGTATTTCCTATTAGAGATTTTAATAGTTAGTCACAAGTATGCTGACACACGCAAAAGGAACACAGTGGAACGATACTGTAAAGAAATATTTTAGGATTACAAACTAAGCCACTAATAGAGTATTGCAGGGGGGAAAGGGATTGTTAGTAATGGAGACTGAGAATCCCATTGCTAGCAATATACCCAACCAGGTCGATCTCCTCGCGGTTCCCCCTGGAAACTATCATGGTTAATTCC